TAACGCTTTCTAACAGACACTTATGTGTTTTCCATTTAAATATTCGCTTTGTGTAATTATTTAAAAGAGCAGGCGGTAAGTTAAACAGCTTAGGGTCCGTATAGTTACAATTATTTTCATCGTAATAATTATTACATGTGGGTACGTGTAACATGTTACTATTGTTTCGTCTTGGGCGTATTTTAGATAGCTTGAAATCATCGCTACCGTACTGTTCCGTTGCTATCAATAACAATACCTTCTTATGAACAGAAGGCCAATTCTCTTAATAAACGTTCGGTCTCAATTCAGTTCCTATCAACTTTCGATCTCACAACATAAAGGGTATTTTCGTAGTAACGTATTAAATAAGTAGTCTAGATAGGTACCTTACGCGATAGGCGGGAAAGGACAGGGCGAGGTGGCTGACTAGGTAATTTGAATGGACTACACGCATTTCTCATAGATAAAGTTAAGCAATTGCAGATCACACGTAATATAATTTTTTTGGGTGGTTAAAAATGGTAAAATAGGGGTATAGAATTTAATTCAACAACAATTAACTATCTACAAACGAACAAATATTTTTTAATTATTTATTCATGGCACAAGGTTACAGTTCATGTAAATACAGTAACAGTGAAGAAAACCACAGGTGGTTTATGTATCACTGCCATCACTCGCTTTGTATGTAGTACATTGCAGATTACATACAAATAAATCTGAGGGTCGTATTACAAATTGATGAATGAAAGAAGTTTTAAAAGGCGAAAACTATCCGCAAGCGTTTCTGGAGTTTGCAGAAACGTTCTGCAATACGGTCTAAGTAATATCTGAATCGAACATAATCTCTTTTGTGTTATAAAAAAAACTCAACAAAACGAAGCTCTATACGTAGAAAACACCCAAACTCCGAAACAAATACTTGCAGATCATACAAACATCTGATCAAAGCAGCAGATCTGACCCGGATATCGAACCCAAGACCTCAGCATAGCAGCCGTACAAGCTATCGAGTTAGTCATATATTTATGTTAAAAAAATATATAAATACATTTTTTTTATGCGTAAAACATAACTAACAAGATGAGTTAGACGTGGGAGAGCCATGCCTCGGCACATATGGAGATTTGGTGCGGCAGTAGTAAGTTTCGGCAAATTTTGGCCGAAACCGAAACTAGATTTTTTGGCCGAAACTGGCCGAACTGAAACATTCGGTCGATCACTATTGAGACGATTTAAGACGATAAATCTTTTTTAGTTAACGCTGTTAATACAGGTGATCCTGATAACCAGCTCCTAGGACGTAGAAGGAGTACAACTGCTCGACAGGACCAATACATACGAGTACAACGACTACATGACGTCAGCCGATGTTAACCACATACCTGAGACTGATATGTTCCTGCTTGTAGCATTCCTAAATCTCTCTACATTTCATCAGCAGTCAAAGACATGACATAAAAAGTGGCTCATCACTCAACTTTTTCATAACCTGTATCTCAAAATGATAATAAAAAGATTGAAATTTATAAAGCTTTAGATGAAATCGGGAAAAATAATGCTATGTATTTTACGGCATATTTTTAATTATTGTTTAATAAACTTCGTTTGCATACGTCTGGCTGCTAATGTTTATAATAAACTGCCCAAAAGTTGGAAAAATCTAATTAGCGACGCATTTAAGCAAAAAGTAAAATCATTTCTTGTTAAAAAAGCCTATTATAACAGTAATGACTTTATAAATGATAAATTTGATAACAATATGGCCTTTGTAGTTACGGACGTACTTATAAAACCTATCTAGATAATATTTCTAAACTACAATTCTAAAAACCATGGTCTCGCTCGTCAAAAATAAAAAATCAATTTCATGATAGTGAAAATGTTCTCTTTAAATACTGCTAAGTTTTATCAACTCACAGTCAAGTGCATTATTCATCATTAAAAAAAAACAACTCTTTAACGAATCCTTAACAGAAATGATCAATCATCCTGAAGGAAAATTGCCGAGAATCCGCTTAACACACAGCGAGCTAATAATATGTACGGCGAGCGGACTACCGCCTATATTGTCCCTTGACTTATTAATGACTTAACCTCAGATTTATGTCATAGTTTATCAAAGAAAGATATAAAATCCAAATTTGTTTAAAAATGGTGCAATATTTGTAAATAGGTTTAGGAAATACCTAAACGAATATACATTTTTGTTGTATTTATCATCAATACAAATAAATAAAATTAAACGGTTATTTGCATGATATCTATACCTAAAAGCAAGTTTATTTATTTTTTGTCTGTCTGATTATTCCGGGTGATCTTCTAAACGGCTGGACCGATTTTGATAATATTTTACTACCAGATAGCTTGTCTATATGAAGAGTAACTTAGATTATTTTGCCTCTCAGAAAAACCCTTTAAAATTTTGCCCGGTTCTGGAATTGAACCCACTAAGGCAGCGCTTTTCAAATTCCATTTAAAGTAAAATTAGTAAGTGTAAGATTATTTTATTGGTATATCGTTATCTTTCCTATTTGTTATTCTTACAGTTTTGATTTGTGTATAAACTATATTTAGAAACTCAAGATAGCACAGGTATAAACCTTGTTGGCCCGCCAGGCCCGGGAACAGGCCAGGTACCGCAGGCGACTCAGGCGCCAGAGGTCGCAGAACGACCTCCGTCCTCTATACGCGTAGGCCTGGGGGTGACAGGTGAGGCCATCTGTCACCCTAGCAGAAGCAGGCCAGGGTGGCGGCGAGCGCGTTGCGAAGCGCGCTCGCTTCCAGGAAGCAGAGGGAACATGGGGTTCCCACACGGGGTGGGGGGGTCGTCTACTTGTTGTAGATGGCCCGAGGTATGTCGGAGCACCAGGGACTTCTTTTCTAGAGTATACCTGGTTCCCCGGCTATTAGTACCCCGACGGCGTGTGGTTTTAGTCGGTTCTAGTCCGACATGCCACCGGTGGTATCCGAGGGGTTTTCCGCACGGAAAAAAAAGGTATAAACCTTGTTGGTTTTTTTAGTTGCTATTACTGTATTAGTCACTGTAAATATTTTTTGTAAACCAATAAAAAAACCGAATGACCTCTAAAATATACTTCTTACACTATGGTAACAAAAGGAAACTGAATGAAAACGAACTAGAATCTATTAATACTCTTGACGTTTATTTATTTTATTTATTTATATCTTTATTGTGTACAGTTAACACAAGAAACTTACATATACGAGTATATAGACGTAACAATCGGCGGTCTTATCGCTCACGGCGATCTCTTCCAGACAACCTTATATTAGACCTTATATTAACCAGATATTAGATATTTAAAAAGTTACGTAGTTTACATACACGTAACGCATTATCACGTGACTATTTAAAAATATAAACAAAAGCATTCATACACAAATAAACATCTGTTCACATTACACATAGATAAATACACATGCATATGTACACACATAAACATAAAATATATATATATATATATACATATATATACACATACACACAACATATATTTATACAGTCCAAAATATATATCTACTATATATAATGAAACCAACAGTATTTAGAATGTCAAAGTACGGATTTTTTATTATCAGATTAAATCTATAAGATTTAATCTGATAATAAAAAATCCGTACTACTATAACTACTACGTACTAAATATAAACAGAAATTGTTAAAATCTTAAAACTTGAGGCACAACAAACATGGCAGCGATACCAAAAGTAAACATTCCCCTTTGTCTTAATAATTCCTTCCTTAAGTAATTCCTAAAAAACCTGATTGGCACCTGGCAATAGGATCGCCACGTTAAATTAAAATTAAAATCCTCCATAACGGGTCTTACCGCCGCGATGACGGCGTGCCCGGCGCTCGGTTGCCCGAGTCGTTCCTTCCACTCCCCTTACCAACGACTTAAACCAATGTTACCTCGATCGTTAGTCCTTGATCCTGAGGCAGTCTCCGTCTCTATTAATGTTTTAAGTATAACAAAATACGACGTCACAAATAGTTGTTTTATACAATACAAGAGTTCTACAGAACGTACGTTTTAATCTTAAGTCAAACTAATTCGGCTTGACGTGTTGCAGGCTGGTGGCGATATTTTCAAAGAACTGCGTTCTTATGGGAGACATTGACTCGTATTGCCTTGTTTGCTCCATCCCTTTAACAGGAGATGTCCTGGAACACATCAGATGCCCAGAACACGATACCAAATTGAAACAGACCGTTTATTTTGAAAAGTATAAAGATGATTTTATTAAAAAGGTATGTAGGCATTCTAAACTTTATAATTTATTTCATTAAGTGTTTTGGGGTTTAAGAATTATATTTTCGACTGGCCTGTTGGTCCTGTGCATAGCGATTCTGACTGCTAAACGTCGGACGGTTTCGAAACAACCCAGGACAAATAATTGTGTGATGAGGACGATCCTTTGTTCTGGGTTTGTGTGTAATGTATCTAAGAATATATCTATTAAGAAATGTAAAAGAATGTTTATCAGAGTTACCGTGATAAATTCGGAAAAAAATGTGATGAAACTAAACCATCTGTTCTGTGCTGTTTCACAAAAAAATATGATATGAGTGCTATCTTTTCGACTTTCTTCTTAACATATGACAATTGCAGGTGAACGGTGTTTATTTCTGCGAGGTGTGTCACAAGACATTTTTCACAGCTACAAATGTGGGTATACACGTGACAGAAAGAACACACATTAAAGGAATAAGAGGGCAACTAACGCGTGTGGGGACATCCGTAGTTTTTCAAAAGGATACACCGATAGAAGAACGCGCGTGGAACGGCCTCGTAGAAGACACTTGTGTTGTCTGCAATGTTGATATTGATGATCACTCGACTCATATGTCTGAGCATAGCCATACCCTCAATGTGGTTAGAAGCACCGTCACCATAGACGATGACAACAATATTTATAGAAAGGCAAGTATCACAGTAAGTGGTGATATCTATCTATCCTTCAAAGTAATTGGAACCTTCGCTAAGGACAAAATGGCTTTCATCTTTAATAAAGTTCTCTTTTCTTTGTCTAATCCTTTAAAGAATTCGCCTTTTTACTCGTACTTCAAATATTACATTAAATTATGTACTTACGCAACAGGGTGGCCCCACCTTCGGGTAAATATTTCTATTAGGCGACGTGTCTGCCTGGAGACACGTCCATCGCCTCTTCGCGGCGGCCTTTGTGGTCTGTGGGGGGGAACCCCGTTCTATCCAACCGCAGCCACACTCAGAGCGGCATAAGGCGCGCCTCTGCCTCCTGGTTCGCCGGTGGCGAATTGGGTCCGAGTGGACATTTTTGTTCCGGGGTCTCTGTGCCTTCACCCCGTTAACCTGCAATCTCAGAAGGAGGCCGGCCGAGGCCTTTCGGTCTCTCCGATGACTGCAGTGAGGGCCCGACGCCTCATTGCAGTACCGGTGGTGACGGGCGGTACTCAATGTCCTCCTAGCGACTGATGATCTCATTCAACCTACCATAATCACCTCGCCCGGCCGGAATATTTACAGGCCTAGTATTTTACAGGAGTTACCATTTTGACGTTTTTTTTTATTTGATTTGACTTCATAGCCAAATTCCATAACTGTTGCTTTCAAATCAGTATGTTTATTTCAGGTAGAAGGAGGATATCAGTGTTTAACATGTAACAAAGTTGTCTCTAATACAGAGATCTGTAAACACTTAGATTCTGAGCAGCATAAGGTTGCTCGGGTTTCATTAGGCTGCACTAGAAATGATGCTGACAACAACCAACCAAATATTGACCAAATAAATGAAGAGAAGAAGGAACAGACGACAGAGAATGAAGCCCATGGAGATGATACGCAAGCGACATCTAGCAAAAATGTTGACACAGAGGTTTTGTCAGGTAAGCTAATATTTAGCTTATTTTTATATACGCCAGTAGTACAGAGGTTCACGAAGGGGCCATGTATAAGCCGGAGATGGCCCGGGGTACTAGGGATTACCTTTCTAGGTTACACCTGGTTGCCCGACTACTGGTACCCGAGACGTATTGCTTTATTTATAAGACTTTATATAATTTATTCGGAGTTTTATCAAATATTTTAACGGAAGGGAATAGGAACCCGGACATTTGAAAATGCACTGTAATAAGGCCTAATCAATAAAAACTGTTTGAGTTTTAATGGTCTATATTCGTATCCTCGTCTGTGGGTATGCAGTTAGGCCCCAATACATACAGTGTTTAAAAACCACATTTGATTGCAGATAACTCCTCTGTTACTGAAGGAAAAGCTATAAAGAAACCAACTGCTGTGAGTATAGAACTAGAAACTTATGCAAACAAACATGGCTTGATCGTAACCCAAGATAGGTTTAGTTTAAATTGTCAGGTATGTGGTACAATAGTACCTGGCACAATGAACAATTTACACGAACACAAAGCAGGAAAAAGACACAAAGAAAATATGAAACTGCAGGCACAGGCAGAGAGAGAGCTAAATATGATGCGAATAGAAAAAGAGTCTTCAAAACAATATTTTACACGGACCTTAATTGTGGATTACAGGTCGGAGAGATATGTCATAATTAATGATAGTTTTTGTATCGAGTTTCGTCATTTCGTTTGTCTGTTGGATATGGGAACGATAGTAATATGCCACCCTTGTGAAACAGAAATATCCCAAGAGGACAGAGCAATGCATTTTAATTCTCCATCACATAAATTTAAATTGCGAAATGCCTCTGTCGTCACTTCTTTGAAAGGGGAATTTATAAGACAGGTAATAATAATAATTCTAATGTTATGTTTCCTAAAACAGTTTGAGTATTTTTAACACGCTTTTATTAGCTTACTATTTATTTATAACGGGCTTTTTTAAACTTGATTTTGACCCACTTCACACACACTTATCAAGGACCGATGACAATACAATAATTTGATAAATTTGGCTGATTATCCTGTTCAGGATCTTCAGGATTAACGACGTTTTCCATACCTAAAAATACGGTAGTGTCTTTCACCACGTGCTAAGAGGCGTGTGCTGAAGCATATGCGACTTCCTTGTTAGCCTTAATGAGAAAATAATCATCATTTACGTCTAAAAAGCAAAAATAAATTATAGTTTAAAGAACTAAAAACCATGCTTTTGTAACTAGCCGAACTAAAAAGTAGGAAAAAATTATACTTTTCAGTTCGGCTAGTTGCAAAAGTGTAATTATTTTTTTATTACAATTTTTTTACAGTGTTTTTTTTCTACTTTTTAAAGCAAAGAGAGGGCAAACGTGCAAAAATGTCACCCGATGGTGACTACAGCTTTCCAATTAGAGAGCAAACGAGCAGATGGGTCATCAGTGGGAGACCTATAGAGAGTTTGCTCTCTAAATTATAAAAAAAGAGTTACGAAAGCGGAGAGGGGGGGGGGGGGGCTATTCCTGCAGTATCCTCTCTCACTCGCTGAAGGGCAACGATCAAATTGCATAACAGAGGGTTTCTGTGAGGCCGCGATATCATTACTGTCGTAAGGGCCCAAATGTGCTGAAGCAAGGCTCTCAATTATTCTCGTACTGTATTATTATTATTATTTGCAGATCGAGTCTCTGTATCATTGCGGTTTCTGCGGCGTATTTCAGAAAGAATTTGGGAGCATATTGGATCACCTTAACACTGCTTTACATGAACACCAAAAGGATACAAAAAAGAAGATTTTGCAACGTATTAAGGACGAAGGACTACTGAACCACCACAGTACAAAGGAAATAAATATATTCGAAAGATTTCTCGCTCTTAGCGAATATTAACTAACGTTAACTGATCATTAAGTTGTATATTTTTAAACCACCATGATCATTTTCAATTGATAAGCTATTGTAAACCGAATATTTACCATGTTTATTTTCGAGAATCAGTTTCATTGTCCAAGCGCCATGATCACGAATGAACTGATTAACTGCGGGTGGAAGGTTTTTTCTTACGACCAAAAAAAAACTGTCTACCCTCTTTCTAGCTCGTTTACTACGCGCGTCACCATTAGTTTCACTAGGAAACTAATTCCCGTAAATATTTCGTTTACAATAACTTACCAAATTCAATATCATACAAAATATCAATAATTTAATCGTTAATTTTGTGTATTTCTATAATTTTATGTTTTTAATATATAAGGTGTACACACTCACGCGTATATTTCGGATATGTCCGACTTGTTTCGGATCTGACGGTACCTTATTCAAGAAGTGTGTCCTGCCGTGACGGTGTGAGCGATTACATTGAATTGGCCTCACGGCTGCTTCCTTTGTCTTTCGAAACTTAAGTTAGAAGGTTGGATTTCCATTATGTGTGTTACTTGTTATTAAGCACTGTGGTACAAACCAGCAGGACGCTTTACTTCTTGAAAAGGTACCCGCTTCGAGTCCTACTAGGATTATTAAAAAGTCAATTGTAATATAAGTGTTAAATGTTTATCTACTAAGTTGTGTTTTCCACAACTTTGTCTCAAATTGAAAGTATTTACAGAACAATATTTAATTACACCTTACTTATTTCTGACGATTATGCATGCATATTATGCCATGAATATTTTAAAACTGAAGAGAAATTATTTTTGTATTTATTACTGTTGTCTCGCATGAATAGGAATGATATAGGTACACGCACCTGAATACATAGACATACAATCACACGCACACGTTATCTTAACATGCCTGGGCCTGTTGGTGTAGTGGTTAGTGACCCTGACTGCTGAGCCGGAGGTCGTGGGTTCGATTCCCACCCAGGACAAATATTCTGTGATGTGCACGGTCAGTTGTTCTGTATCTGGGTGTAATTTATCTATAATATGTATGTATTTAGAAATATATACCTAAATATATTTATCAACTGATTGGTTACCCTAATACAGGCTCTGCCTAGTTTGGGACTAGATGTGATGTGATGATGTGTGATGATTTTATTATTATATTATTATGATGATCTTAATAAATTCCTAATCTTTCTCATCTTTCCTATTTTTATTTCTTAGCCTTTTAACAAGTCTGATTTATCCGTCAAATAGAAGACTCGGGCCCATTCCGCCCGAGTCCGATAACCCGAATTTTTCAGTAATTTTTTTTCGCGTATAAAAGATTTAATTTGCATGAATATTTGTAAAAGTATGACTTTTTAGATGTCAAATAATAATGTTTTTTTCGCAGCTCAGAAGATGACTAGTTTAAGGCTGAAATTTATAAAGCGTACTTAGACTTTGCTCAGACTTACCTCACGAGTTAAGTGTGCGTTGAAATTTATAGTCATAATGCTTAGCTCAAGCTGAGCAAATGCTTAGCATAGTCTAAGGCTGAAATTTATAAAGCGTACTTAGACTTTGCTCAGACTTTGCTTACGCTAAACTTACTTAAGTTCCTGCTCAGTGTAATCTTAGCATTCGAATTTATAGTCCTCTTGGGCTAAGAATTTACTGAGTGTATGCTAAGCAAGATCTCAGGAAAAAAATTTAAACGTTTCGATTTGCATAGCATATTAATTTAAATTCTTGGTATTTCAAAAATATATTATTTTTAAAATAGCTGTAATAACCTAAAATATTAGTAATCTTATAAATTTTATCATATTATTGTATTTCAATCAATTAACACCTTTAGTTTTCATTGATTTTAAGTGATAAAAGGCAAAAATAACACATGTACAAGTAAAACAAAACGTACGTATATTTGACTTGTCAAATGTCATAACAATATTTGAGGTTGTCTCGTCTTGAGTTCATTCGCAAATATATCAATTTCTTGTATTAACTTTTTATCTTGACCCTGGCACACCCTTACGGACTTCTGTTACAACGCTTTCGAACTAGATTACGGCTTTTCTTCCTGGACAATCGAACCATCTTTTCACATTGACTCTGGCATATTAATCGTAAGTAATCGCTAAGTCATGGATTTTGGTGACTTAGACTATGCTAAGCATTTGCTCAGCTCGAGCTAAGCATTATGACTATAAATTTCAACGCACACTTAACTCGTGAGGTAAGTCTGAGCAAAGTCTAAGTACGCTTTATAAATTTCAGCCTAAGTCACCAAAATCCATGACTTAGCGATTACTTACGATTAATATGCCAGAGTCAATGTGAAAAGATGGTTCGATTGTCCAGGAAGAAAAGCCGTAATCTAGTTCGAAAGCGTTGTAACAGAAGTCCGTAAGGGTGTGCCAGGGTCAAGATAAAAAGTTAATACAAGAAATTGATATATTTGCGAATGAACTCGAGACGAGACAACCTCAAATATTGTTATGACATTTGACAAGTCAAATATACGTACGTTTTGTTTTACTTGTACATGTGTTATTTTTGCCTTTTATCACTTAAAATAAATGCAAACTAAAGGTGTTAATTGATTGAAATACAATAATATGATAAAATTTATAAGATTACTAATATTTTAGGTTATTACAGCTATTTTAAAAATAATATATTTTTGAAATACCAAGAATTTAAATTAATATGCTATGCAAATCGAAACGTTTAAAAATTTTTCCTGAGCTCTTGCTTAGCATACACTCAGTAAATTCTTAGCCCAAGAGGACTATAAATTCGAATGCTAAGATTACACTGAGCAGGAACTTAGGTAAGTTTAGCGTAAGCAAAGTCTGAGCAAAGTCTAAGTACGCTTTATAAATTTCAGCCTAAGAGTTATCCGTGTGATGACGGATTAAGAATACTGAATGTCACCATCCCGTGAGCACGGTACTATTATAATACAGTACTCCAACTTCATACAAACGGACGAAACGCGAGCTATACCTACGCGCCTCGATCTCGGGGTGCGCTCGGGGCGCAGACAGTCACGGCTGTACCGCAGTGTCGAACGGACTGTGTGTTGTTTTTTTAACAATAACCGCGCGATTTTTTCTCTAAAAATCAGTTAATATGACGAGTAGGAAATATTGTGCTGTTTTTGGATGTATGAATTCGTCAATAACGCATCTAGACATAAGTTTTTTTAAATTACCTAGAAACTCTGAAAGGTAAGAATATAAAATAATTTTACTTACTAATAGGTACGTACATGTGTGTCTTTTTAATGGATAAGTTTAATCTCACGAAAAAAAAGGTGTTTGGATTAATAAATAAAGCGAATAGAGTAACGGAAAGTTATTGAGACGAGTGAAATAGGTAGTTATATGCGGTTCTGAATGAATCATGATACGGTAGGTACCTACCTACTTACGCTTGTGTTTAAACTTCGGTGCATGTGTGTTTGCATAATTCAAAGTAAAGACGTGGTATTTTATTATTCATAATATTTTTTTATTATCTGTGTGTATGAATAATACTAGAAAAAATTTTTTACCGTCTGTGTGTCATTAGATAGTTTTCGAAATTTTCACAAAGTGTTTCTGCTGCTACTATAACAACATATACCACTAAAAACTGGTTTTATTTTCTCGGTATTAACAACAACAGCTAGACTCATATATAACATTTAGATGTTTGAGGGTTGTGATTTTAAAACATTCGTAGTCAGCTGTTCAGCTTTTTAATAATTAATTAATTTTTTGACCAAAGAATTTTTGTTTTGAGTTGTTGCGAGTTGTAGGTAGGTACCTAATTTATAGAGACGTTAATAAGCTGAGATAAAAAGTTACTTACTCGTCAGCTGTTTCTTGCATTCTAATTGAGTAGGTAGGTTGGAGTTGGATTGGAGTTTTGTAACGCGTAAGGAGAAAGCACATTTTTTTTATTCTATAGAAGGATTTTTTAAGCTATTGCATAGCTTTTATCGCGGGCTCTGAGCGCGGCGCGGCGCGGTGATCGAATCAAGCAATTCTCAAAACCTAACGAAAAATACCTGTCACCACGCAGATTTTTTTCTTTAAAAAAAAAATGTTATGCAATAGCTTTACCGCGGCAGTCTCCGAGAGTGCCACATGTATTTTTTTTTTAGACGTCTTCAATGGTTGCAACTAATCCGGCGAGATGATTTGGAAAACAAACCTAACTTTAGTTCCTACCAAGTTTGTGAAAAACATTTTAATTTGGAGGATGTATTACATTCATCAAATAGAAAACTTTTAAAAAAGAATGCCCTACCATTGTTGATGCTGCCAAGCTTAGCTAGTACTGATCCAGGAGTCTCTCTAAAAGAAGATAAACAAACCCAAACTGCTCCGTTGGTAGGAAATGAAAATAGTACACAGACTGAAAATGCAACAAATGAAATCTTTGCTCAAACCTCAACGAGTCTCTCTAGCAACACTCCAAGAAAAAGAAAATTGAAACTTGAACTCCTCCAATGCAGAAAGAAAATAAAATAATTAAATCTACCAATCAAAAAACAACACGCATTTTTATTGAACACTTCCTATTCAATATACAAAGTATTTCATTTATTTATATAAAAAGGATATTTACAATCACAAATCTAAATAGAAACAGAAAGTAGGCAAATATAATTAAAATACTGGCAACGGGCAGCCCTAACGCATGTTTACGTACCGCGCGGCTGTAGGCATTTATTTCTATCATGCGGCCGAGTTACACTACTGTATTATAATTATACCGTGCCGTGAGTGTCGTAAGAGGCGACTAAGGGAGAAAAGCCGTCTGGCCTGCGTGGTATAATAGGCTAAAACCTCCTTTCTAAGGAGAGGCCTATGTCCAGCAGTGCACTATTAAAGGATGTTGATGTGATGTGTACATTTTTCGGCAAAAATACCCTTATCTTCTACGAACAATTGTCTTGATGTTTTTTTTTTTATAGTTCGGAGGTCTCTAAGTAGTCATTTTAATCTTTGAAATTTCTACTTTTAAAAGGCCTATGTGACTTGGTGGTTTAATTATCCTTAAACCCCTTAAAATTGAGTTCACCGAATAAAAGGCTGAATCATGTTTTTTTCAATATTTTATGATTTTCGATTTTTATTTATATAATATAAGGTTCTTCCATGTAAGATTATCACAGTTGAAAGAATTTTATTAAGGTAAGTAGCGCAAACCATTTTGAAAAGTTTAAATAAATAACATAATTGTAAAACAACAAAGTAATAATCGACTAGTACTTATTGCTATCATCATGATAAAATAAAGTAAATTAAATATTTGAATGTTACTCTTTTGTAGCATTGACGTAAACGGTAACTCTTTAATTTTGCTTTTAAAATAAATGAAAACCAGATAATTATAACTGTAAATTGTTGTCAATGTCGATGTTTTTGCGTCAAGCTACAAGTGTGTACTTTTGGTTTGCTTTTAAATTATAGTTTATGTCAGAACGAAATAAAATAAATACAGTATTATTTGATAATGTGTTGTCGGTCGTGTGGTGACGGATTAAGAATACAGAGTGTCACCACATCTATTCATCCCGTGGGTGTCATAAGAGCCGACCAAGGGAGAAAACTACGCAGAACAGCAGCACTGCAGACAGAAGGAAAACTTGACACAGACCCTATAACAACCCGTCTGGCCAGCGTGGTATAGTAGACCAAAACCTCCTTTCTAAGGAGAGACTTATATCCAGCAGTGGACTATTAAAGGCTGTTGATGTCATGTTACAGTATTATTCAAAATATAGATACCTAACAATTATAATTTGAATATGTATAAGTGACGAAACGAGTTAGGTACAATTCATATATGTAAACGTATAATAATATGCTTACGGGATTAACACAAACATGAACCTAAAGCTGATCAGGTTTCCGTTTGCCATGTTTACAGAAATGAATATAGTTGACACCCTGGCAAGAGACGGGCCTCAATTCTGTAGTGTACCCTCAGCGTCAGCAGACTAGGTATAATTTTTCGTAGTATTGCAAAAGATAGGTGTCGATTACTTGATCAAATAAATAAAACTCAAACCGTTTATAATAAGGATTTATTACTAAGCAATTAACAATAATCAGCTTTTAAGTTCAACAAAAATCTCTTAATGTTCTGGAGATGGACACGGGATTATACCTACTTCACGAGTATTACGTATTAAATTAATAATATTCATGAATACTTGCGATCGATGATCTGGTGGAATGGATTCCATTTCAAATGCGTATAATGCAGCAAAATTGATGGATCTAAAAAAATGGCAATCGGCAATTGCTTACAATCTGCTGATTTACTCTGCTTCGCTGATGATATGAAGATTTTTAAGGCTATTGCATCACAAACAGACGTTCACGCATTGCAGAATGACCTGCTGCGTATAGTTGACTATTGCATTAGGAACAAGCTAGACTTAAACACGTCAAAGTGTTCTGTTGTTACATATACAAGAATATATACCACCGTTGAGTCAGAATACACATTGAAGAGACGAAAGCTACATAGAAATCATAGGGTTCGTGATCTTGGTGTATATACGATTCGAAATTACTCTTTGAAGAGCATGTGGACAGTATAGTAAAGAAAGCGTCGTAGGTATTAGGGTTCGTGATGCGGATGTAGTCTAGATGTTTTAAGGATGCGAAAACATTCAAAATACTATACTATACATATGTACACAGCATATTGGAGTACGGTTCGCAGGTCTGGAACCCTGGGGTTATGATAAATATATTATTAGATTAGAAAATATTCAACTTTTTTTGTTAAATATTTGTGTTTCGGAATAAAAATTAATTATAGGAGTTCAGATTATCACAAATTGTGTGTAAAATTACACCTTCTTCCTCTCACAGCGGCGGGCAATAGCAGACGTTGTCTACTCACTTAAAATAATAAATAATGAGGTAGATTCCCCCGAACTTCTTGGGAAAATTGGGTTGAAGGTACTCGTAAGGAATATGAGAGATCACGCACCTATTTACCTTTCCAATGCATCATCAATTTATGGACACATACACATATGGAATACACAGTATACGTTTCTTTGACATTGATATTTTAACACTAAAATGACTAGAGTACGTCGGGTGCTAGCCGAGATTTCTTTCTTCTCTTTTGTAATCACGTGTAAATAATGTGATTGGCCGCACGAAACTATGTAAAATACGGCTTATCTGTAAATACCTTTAATTGGCTAATTGTCATATATTATTGTTACTATTTCAATATTAAAGCTGTTGGTTTTACTTCAAATAAATAAATAAACAAACTTTCTTTATAATATTAGTATAGATCATGATTATGCTACAATGATAACATTTGGTGAAGAAAAAGATGAAGAATTCTGCTTATTTTTTGGAATTCCTCGTAATAAACGATAACACAAACAAAAAGGTTAATATAATCGAAAAACGTTTTTTCCCGTTTAAAAGTTTAAAAATTATTAACATTGAACCAGTTCACGAGCTTAGAGAGAGTGCTATTCACGTCATCAGTACCTACCTGATTGCTGTCGTTTTAGTTTAAATAAAAGTGAAGTGTCATCCGCAAATAGTAGTACTATATCCTGATTATCTTTTATCAGATTAGGTAGGTCATTCATATAAACAAGAAACAAAAATGGGTCCAGAATTAAGCTCTACGGAACCCCCATAGTGACCAAATACCTCAGGAACCTCTGAACTTTAACTCTCTGGATCCTATTACCCGAATAAGAGATAAGAAGATCCAAATCAGTATTACTAATTCCATAGTGATGCAATTTCCTGATCAATGTTTCATGAAAAACGAAATTGAATTAGATAAATCACAAAAAACACCCATCGCATCCTGCTTATCTACCAAGTCATACATCACTTGTCGAGCGACCTCTTCTGTAGCTAAACTGTTTAATTTGTAGAATTTCTCTTGAACTAAATGAAGGCCGTTGACGGGCAGCAGCGTTACCGGTGCGACAAGCTACGCCCTGCGATCGCAAACCCGCCTGCCCAGCGTGGCGATTATGGGCAAACCCTCCCCATGCAGACGCAACAAAGGCCACGGCCCCCAGTTCCCGGCGGCTCCGCTATTCTTGGTCATGGTGGCGACCACGGTAAAGGCGGGGGGTGCGATGAATCTCCGGGCTACGGGAGGCCACCACAACCGACTGACCCTGGCTACGTAAACGGACGCACGCTACGGCTAGACTCGCATCTGGCGCAACTTGAGGTTGAACTTGGGAAGATTAGGTAGCATATCCTAGGGCTATGTGAAGTCCGAAGAGAGGGGGAGGACACCATAACCCTCGAGTCAGGCCACCTAATGTACTTCCGCCAGGGAAACCAACAATTCCAAGGTGGCGTTGGGTTTCTGCTAAATAAGTCCCTATCTGACAACGTTGTGGAAACTGTTCCATTGTTATTCTGTTCATTTTAATGTAAATTTGAAATATAGGTCCTCCTTCTTTTAGTATTTATGGTAACACCATCTAACAACATACTTAATAGTAAAGTATTATATTGTTATATGGTGTTACGATTTTCAAGTGTTTTTCGCATTGTACATAATATACTTAGGTACCTAGTTATAAAAAACATCTACAAAACATAGAATGTTTTATGTTGTTCATTAAAAAAAAATCGCGGCACCCGAAGCTTTTGTTATTATTCATGCTTAAATTAAGTGAACAACTATGTAAGCCATGTACTTCTTTTTATTTCAGATTTGTTTAATAATAAATAAAGCTAAGAAAAACATGTAAGTAGCACTGGGAGCTGGAGTATAGTATACAGTCTCGCGATGGTCAGAGCGAGCCGAGAGAGACCGTAGGGATCCTCGATGGCCGGAGCGAGCTTTGAATATCTGTTTTACAAAGTAAATAAATACTCTATTCTTAGAGCAATAAAGTTTCATATTGTACTAACAAATATTTCAATTCTCGCTTCGCACATCCTCGCCCATCTAGACCTTTGCACCAAAGATGGGCAGGGCGTGGATAAAAAATTTTGCAATACAAATTTCAATTCTCTCTCGGCCCATCCACACATCGTCCCGCCCGCCGGTGTAAAACCACCTTAACTCAAGTTTTGAAAGACAGCAGCAAGGAAGCAGCCGTGAGGCCAAAGGCCAATTCAGTGTGCTCGCCAAAACCGTCACGGCAGGACTTCTTGAACACACACTTCTTGAATAAGATCCCCGTCAGATCCGAAACAAGTTGGACATATCCGAAATATACGCGTGAGTGTGTACACCTTTCATATTAAATACATACAATTTTAGAAATACACCAATTTAACGATAAATTATTGACATTTTGTATGATATTGGATTTGGTAAGTTATTGTAAACGAAATACTTACGGGAATTAGTTTCCTAGTAAACTAATGGTGTAATAACTAATGGTGACGCGCGTAGTAAACGAGCTAGAAAGCTAGACAGATTTGTCAGCTTGTAAAAAAAAACCTTCTACCCGCTTCCACCTTAATCAGTTCGTTCGTGATCATGGCACTTGGAAAAAGAAACGGATTCTCTGAAATAAACATGGTAAATATCCCTTTTACACTAACTTATCAACTGAAAATGGCTATGGTGGTAATGGCAACTTATTAATCACTTAACGTTAGTTAACTGTGCTGTTGTTTAGTAGTTCTTCGTCCATAATACTTAGAAAAATCTCCTTTTTTAATGAAAATGGCCTTGGTGGTTTAAATCAATATCAACGTAACCTAATAATCAGCTAACGTTAGTAAATATTAGTTGATTGCGTAAAATCACTCATACTCCAATAGATTTAGTATCATTGTTATACTTCTTCGTCCTTAATATGTTGAAAAATCATCTTTTTTGTAACCTTTTGGTGTTCATGTACAGCAGTGGCAAGGTGATCCAACATCTGCCCATAGTCCTTCTGAAATACGCCGCAGAAACCGCAATGATACATAGAATTGATCTGCAAATAATAATACAGTAAGAGTATAGTTGAGTGCACTGAACGTGTGAGAGCCTTGCTTCGGCACATTTGGGCAATAACGTCAGGAATGATATTGCGGCCTCACAGAAAACCTTTGTTATGCAACTTTTGCGTTGACCTTCAGCGAGTGAGAGAGTTTACTGGCAGCTCAACAGCAACAGCTCCTTCCCCCACCTAACTATTTTTATGGTTTAGAGAGCAAACGAGCATTTAGGTCACTAGATGGTAAGTGACAACCGCGACCCATCAAAAATGTATCACATGTGAATTCGCTGTGACAAATACCAATCATTATTTCCATTAAATGAATATGATTTAAAAGTAACCATAATTTCTAAATACCTACTCGTTGTTGGGCTACATTTGCGAGTAATGGAGTGTGGCCCAACCCCGTCCGAAGCGTACCGCCGGTTTTAGAATGTGATTTTGACCCACTTCAAAACGTCGAGTTGAAATTGAAACTTCGCACACTTATCAAGGACCGACGACAATAAAATAATTTGATAAATTTCGTCGATTATCCTAATCAGGATCTTCAGTATTAACGGCGTTTTTCATACCTACTCTTTGTACGTAGTGAAAGGCACTATCGTTTTTTTAGGTATGGAAAACGCCGTTAATCCTGAACATCCTGATCAAACTTTATCAAATTATTGTATTGTCATCGGTCCTTGATAAGTGTGTGTGAAGTGGGTCAAAATCACCTTTAAAAAATCCCGTTATACATACATAGCAAGCTAATAAAAGCGTGTTAAAAATACTGTAGCTGTTTTACAAGACAAAACATTAAAATTATTATAATTACCTGTCTTACAAATTCCTCTTTCAAAGAAGTGATGACAAAAGAGTTTCGAAATTTAAATTCATGTGGCAGAGAGTTATGATGCGTTGCTCTGTTCTCTCTGGTTACTTCTTCGTCACAAAGTTGACACATTATCTTTCCAATATCCAGCAGACAAAAGAAATGTTTAAACTCGACACAAAAACTGTCATTAATCATGACATATCTATCCAACTTGTAATTCACAATGACGGTCTCTTTAAGATAATCTTTTGACGGAACTTTCTCTATCTTTATTGTATTTCGTTTTTTGTCTGCCTGTGCCTGCCGTTTTATGTTATCTGTGTGTTTTTTTCCTGTTATGTGTTCTTTTAAATTGTATATTCTGCCAGGTACTTCTGTACTACATATCTGACAATTAAAATGAAACGTATCTTGAGTTACGAACAAGCCATGTTTGTTTGCATAAGTTTCCAGATTTTTACTCACAGGAGTTAGTTTTTTTATAGCTTTTCCTTCAGTAACAGGCGGGTTCTCTGCAATCATATGAGGTATTTAAACACTGTGTGTGTATTGGGACAACAAGTGATGTTCCTGATCGTTAAAAAATTATATTCGCAGATGACATTAAAACGCACTCACAGAGGCGGATTAAGTATCAAGAGCGCCCTAGGCAAGCGTCTCATCGGCGCCCCCCCCCCCCCCCTGCACCTCTAGCCATATGTGTGATAGTTATGACTCCAAAGTTTAATTGTCATTTCTTTACTTAGAATTTACTTTAGTATTATTTTTTTAAGTGTGGCTACGTGGTTACGTTAGATGGGTGGGTGTGTACGACGTGGGTACGATGGGCGGTGTATCAGAATCGAACCGACTAAGACACACACCGCGCCTGAGATAGGAGTGATCCGACAACAGGATGGAAGCATTCAGCGTCCTGCGCTGCCTGAGCCGCCTGCAGTACCTGGCCTGATCCCGGGCCTGCCGGACCGGAAGAGTTCTAAGCCTCTCAATCACGCCACGCCGGGCGGTCCACGCTCTGGCCACCGCAATTGTGACACCCAGGCACTGGTTACTTGCGGATCAGACACAGGTGATCTCCTCTCTCCATGACGGGTCTTACCACAGCTATAATGGTGTGCCCAGCGCTTGGTTGTCCAAATCCTTCCCTCCACTCCTTCATGAGAGAAAGACAAAGTTGGGATTTCTGGTCCTCGATTACTGGAGTCATACGATCCCGACCCAGTACACGCCCCAGATACCTCATTGATGAGAGTACCTCCTACTACTAGACTGGATCCCGCAGGTGGCTCCCTCCGAGGCTCATGAAATAACAAGGCCTTAGATCGATTTGCCGGATCCGCACCGTGTCATCTGCGTAGCATGTGACAGCGTTATCATCCAAGAAGGCACCGCGGAGCACCCAGTCGTAGCTGATATTCCACAGAAGCGGCTCTAAGACCAACCCCTGCGGAATACCGCACGACATTTCACGACGACCGAGATCGGTTCTACTTGCGTAAATAACGGCTGCAGACCCCTCCTAGCGCCTGCCCTTTAAAAGCGCGGGCACCACCTTCGGAGATAAACTCTCATTTATAAGACGTCCGCCACCTCCTGACGGTAGGCTTCGTAACTCGTAAGTATGTCCAAACCTACTTACTGACAGTTCTTTTTATGTTAGGCATATTTTTTTTCTTTGTAAAAAAAAAATCTCGCGCGCGCCCTTTGTAACTTCGCGCCCCTAGGCCCGTGCCTACTTCATCATCATCATCATCAACAGCCTTTATTAGTCCACTGCTGGACATAAGCCTCTCCTTAGAAAGGAGGTTTTGGCCTACTAAACCTCCTTTACTTTGCCTTAGGGTTAATCGCCACTGCTCACTGAAATGGTTCTTTTTGATTAGGCCTTGTTACAGTGTTTTTCAAATGTCACTACTATTTAAAATTATTACCATATTTAAAAAGGTAGACACTAGAACAAAATGAGATAACCACATAAATATACTCGTATACATCCATTGCACAGCCTAACAGATAGCAGTGTCATATGTGCAACAAAGACTAATAGTGAGTCATTCCTACTCCACGCCTCCGGAGTTCTACCTTCAAACAGGACAGCGTTGAAGAGTCTTTGGAGCTTCCTTAGTACGGTTTTACCTCCGGTTTTTAGTTCTGTTATAGTTTAGTTCTGTTCTGTTATAACGCCATCCTCTCCAGGGGCTTTTCCATTCTTCAGCTGTTCAAGAGCCATCTCGATTTCGTCAGTGCTGAATTTTGGCAGGTCTTCGGTGTAGTGACGTGTTAATGTGGCTCTGGAGTCCTCATTTTCGAGATCAGGTCGAGATGCACGCGAAGCGTATAATCAGCCATAGAAGCTTTCCACTTACGAAAGAACTACCGGGTTCGAAGCAACGACTTCTCCACTTACTGTGGTTAACTTCGTCAGGTGGAGACTTCGTCTTCCAAGAGATTGTACGAACACTTTTGATCCCCGATTCTGCTTAATCGCTCTTTCAGTTTGTTTCTTCGTACGACACGACCTACGGTGCTCCAATACCCTTTGGAGCACCGAAGGTCGTGTCGTACGAACTTACTGATCTCTTGGTTTAGAGTCCGCTTTACCGACAAATTGACAGGTGGGTTTTTACGTCGTTTCTTCACTAGCCCTAGGGTCTCTTCTGAAAGCTTCGATTTCCTGCTCTTATGTGCATTTCACAAAATCTCGTACCTTATTACCTGAGGATCCGAACCACATTTTTGAGATTCTGGTTTACGTCGGTTGTCGTTTCCACGGTAGCTAATCGGTTTGCCAGTTTTGACTCGAACGTTTCAGATCCTGTCATGGCTTAGATCAGGGTTGGTCGGAGCCTGGATTTCATCAAACACGTTCAGCCTTAAAGATGAAATTCAGAGAGCCTCGAACAAGTCGGTGATTACTACCGGTAAACCTATTGATTACTGAGACGTCTCTAAAAAAAGAAATATATTATTATGCAATTAAAATATTTCATGGGGTCCGAGTGCTCGTATATGTAGCTCGGAGATGTATAAACAAATAGATAAGCAACTGATCAAAACTTCTCGTGATCATCTCTCTCGCCTTTTCTAGTTCAGAATTAGCATTGCCATTCAACGTGGCAATGCTGCAAGCCTTCTGGGAACGCTACCAGTAACCGATGACACGGAGGATTTTTTTGATGCTTGTATTTAATAAATAATATTGTAATTGCATAATAATATATTTATTTTTTACTGTAATTTTATATATATATTTACCGTTATTTTGTACATTGTTAGTCCATAAGTTTCTATTTTGTAAAAATTTATTGTTTAAATGTTCCCACAATTAAAATAAATATATGGTTATATTAAGTACAATGTCGGCTTACCTGTCCAAACCTTTGTGTCAACATTTTGGCTAGATGTCACTGTTGTATCATCTTCATTGGCTTCATTCTCTTTTATCTGTTCCTTCTTCTCTTCATTTCTTTGGTCAATATTGTTGTTGTCAGCATCATTTCTAGTGCAGTCAAATGAAACACGAGCAGCCTTATGCTGTTCAGAATCTAAGTGTTTAGAGATCTCTGTATTAGAGACAATTTTGTTACATATTAAACATTGATAGCCGCCGTCTACCTGAAATATACATTCCGATTTAAAAGCAGTAGTTATAACATTTGTCAATCATGTTAAATCAATTCTCAAATCAAAGAAAAGAAACGTCAAAACGGTAATTCCTGTAAAATACTACTGGACAACTTAAAGGAGGAATCTTCTGACCGGGCGAGGTGATTATGCTAGGTTTAATGCGGTCATCAGGCGCTAGGAAGAAATTGAGTACCGCCCGTCACCACCGGGACTGCAATGAGGACTCGGCTCAGCACACGCTAGCGGTTTGCTCTGCTTAGACGATGTAGCCTCGGGCCCTGACTGCAGTCGGTGGACATACGCTGCATGGCCGGAAGGCCTCGGCCGGCTGCCTTTTGAGATTGCAGGTGAACGGGGTTTGAACGCGGAGAGAGCCCGGGAGGAAAATCTCCAAATGCGTCCCATGCCGCTGTGAGTGAGGCTGCGGTTGCATTGAACAGGTTTTTCTATCAACCGGAACGAAAGCCGGTCGCGAAGAGGCGATGTATGTATCTGCCTAGACGACGATTTACCACGGTGGTAGTGCTATGCGTAGTTAATTTATTGTAATATTTGAAACACAAAGGGGGGAATTATTTATAGTAGGAACAGACAAAGATAGGAGAACTTCGACTAATCATCTCTTTCACGTGGGTTAAGTAACTTGAAATCGATATTTACATTCAGTAACCAGGAATAGGAGACAATCCGCAGCTAAATGTTCAAGAATCAATACAAACATTTATTTTTAACAGACTTCAAAAAGAGGATTAGTTTTATTTTTATGTTTGTTACCTAAATACTACGTCGTTTATGACAGAACAACAATTTGTGTGCTCCACAAATTGTTGTTCTGAGTCTGAGTGTACTTGGTGTCTGTTTCCTGTATGTTTGGCAAGATCCAGGATTTATACCTAGTACGGGAGTTGTCTTTAAAAAAAAAACAATAAAAGGAAGAACTATGCTTCGGTGTATTTGGACCCGGTTCGACCGGAGTGGTCTACGCCCTTACAAAAACCGGTGTTAATCAATTTTTTCTTTGCTTTCAAAGAGTGAATGATGTAAACCTCCGCTCCGGTTATTTGCACTTAAAGGCACACCCCACTTATGACACTCACCATCTGATGACTTTGTCACGGTCACAATGAAGTCTATTTCCTTATTGCATTCAATAATTTAAGATGAAAGCTATATTGTCCTTTGCGAAGGTTCCAATTACTTTGAATTATAGACTGAAATCACGACTTACTGTGATACTTGCCTTTCTATAAATATTGTTGTCATCGTCTATGGTGACGGTGCTTTTAACCACATTAAAGGCATGGCTGTGCTTAGATATATGAGTCGAGTGATCATCAATATCAACATTGCAGACAACACAAGAGTCTTCTACGAGGCCGTTCCACGCGCGTTCTTCTATCAGTGTATCGTTGTGAAACACTACGGAGGTCCCCACACGCGTCAGGTGCCTTCTCTTTTCTTTAATGTGTGTTTCTTCTGTCACATGTATACCTACTTTAGCAACTGTAGCAAACGTCTTATTACACACCTCGCAGAAGTAAACACCGTTCACCTGGAATTTTATCGTATGTTAAAAGTCGAGAACCCATATTATTATTATTTTTTTCAAGTGAATAGACTATAGCAGAGATGTGAGAGCACGTTTATATTAAAAGGTTAGTTTTTTAGTTGGTTGGTTGTGGGCTTCGGTTTCCGCATTTAGACTCAAGAGTGGTCCCTTATACGTCGAGGACTGGTTGGCTAGGTGAGCCAACCAACAGTTTTTTTTTCAGTTTTTTTAGTAATAAAAACATGAAACATCTCACACACGGCCGTCTGCTTCCAAATTAGGCACTGCCTGTGTTACGGTAACTAGACTGCTGATAAACATATATATTTCTAAATATTAAAATATTATACTTAGATACATTACACCCAGACACAGATCGTGCTCATCACAGAATTATTTGTCCTGGCTGGTTTTCGAACTCACGACCGTTGGCTTAATAGACACAATTGCTATGCACAAGACCAACAGGCCAGTCAATTGCTAGTCGAAAATATAATTCTAAAACCATAGAAAACATTTACACAGTGAAATAAGTTATAACGTTAAGAATACCTAAATACCTTTTTTATGTAATCATCTTTGTACTTTTCAAAATAAACAGTCGGTTTCAATTTCGCGTTGTGTTCTGGGCTTCTGATGTGTTCCAGACCCAGCACATCTCCTGCCACAGGGATGGAGCAGACAAGACAAAACGAGTCAAGGTCTCCCATAAGAACGCAGTTCTTTGAAAATATCGCCAGCATCCTGCAAGATGACAAACCAAATTAGTTTGTCTAAACATTAAACCCTACGTTCTGTAGAACACTTGTATAAAACTCCTATTTGTGACGTCATTTTTTTGTAGTTAAATCACTGACACGGACTGAGTTTGTTTTAGGCTCAAGTAGTTACATACGTTTCGGCCCGGCGGCAGATACAGCTTTTGACTCAAAGGGAGGAAAGATCATTTTTATGGACTCAGGACGCACGATAAGCTGACGAAAAAGACGAAAGTGAAAGAGCTATTGCTGAGCGAAATGGCACATTCAACGAGCTCCTAGTTCATCGGCTAATTTTTTTATTTTTTCCTTTATGTATATATGTGTATGTGTATATATATATGTATATATGTATGAGTATGTATATGTATATATATGTGTATGTGTGTGGTATTACGACGTATACACCAAATTCCAAGATAGTTGGTATTTAACAAAACCACTATCGTTTATACCCTACCATAAATGCACCTACCTCATTATTTCTCAGCTCCGCCCAATCGGTCGACTGGCAGAGAATGCCTTAGGCATTAAGTCCGCCGATGCATGTACTTGTGCAAAAAGTTATAAATAAATAAATAAGCTCTAATTAGAAGGTTTAACAAGAATACCGAGTTACATGTGACTCATGTTTTAAATAATACATCTTTCACATTCGCGTGTAATGTCAAAAATGTACACAGAGGTGTTTTACACGTTTGCCAAGTATTCATTTTAATTTCACCCACGTAATAGGTGGCGATCCTATTGCCATCGGCCGAGCTTTATAGGAATTAAGTTGACAAATTTAGATAAAATATGATAATTACATCTCTAAACTGAGAATTAACGTTTATATTGCACTTCCTGGTAGTTCTATTGATCCACAGTTACCGCATCGTTTTTAAGACAAGGCGAGGGGGGGGGGGGGTTGTAAATAAGCAGGGGGGTCACCAGTTGGTAAGTTATTATTGCCGCCCATGAAAACCTACCTACCTACCTACTCAAGAGTCCTCTTTGCCGGCATTTGAGGTAAGAGTCTCCACATAATATAATGGCGCACAAAAAAGAAAGTTACAAATTGTTATTATTTATATACAATAAATAATTTACTTATTGTTATCATAACAATCTGGTCAGGAAACAATTGAGATTGTCGTATTTCGTTATTACTACCTACTTGCTGTAATCCGTATTAAATCGTTGTTTGCTTTATTCAGAAAAGCCTATAAGAAATACATTACTCAAGCCAAGGAACACCGGGGTGGTTTTCAGTGGTTAAGATTCCGACAGACACCTTTACCACCCCCAATGGACGAAGGGCATCCATGAGGATCTTCCACCCCCATAACAAAAAAATACCTTTTGCTCTAAACAAGTTTTATCTCGCGGCGTACTTTGGTTGTAATTTGCTAGTTGTATGTCTGTACTACAACCTATGTAGTCGTAAAGTATTACAACTTGTAAAGTAGGTAGTTGTAAATAGAGTAAGCGTTTACATTTATCACAGAAAAGCTAACAAATTTATAGAAATAAATTTCTATAAAGTTATATATCTTGATATAAAAGCTTTAAGTTGCTTCAAAATCTCAAAAAGCTCTGCACCGTACTTACTTTTGCACTATTTGAAAGGATCTGTTTTAACTATTTAACTAACTTGCAGTACACTGATTATTTTCTATTTTATTAATCTATCAATATAATGTATATACAGTTTGCACCTTGGAGACAGCAATGATGTTTTAAGAATGACGCGACTGAGGCATAGCAATCAAGTGGCACGGTACTAACAAGATGATGAGAAGGAGGTAGGTAGTAAAGGAAATAATTGCTACCATGAAATCATAATCATATGATATAATGATTAATTATGATCACTGCGATTTCATCTATGATAAATCACTACTGTGACTTGGTCATCAACTATATATATACTTTAAGATGTGGGGTTCTCTATTGGTCTAAACTATTCACTCGAGTAATGTGAGGTGGTGCACCGTCTTGTTGAAAATGAAGGTCGTCTGAATCAATATCATCAAATTCCGGAAAGAAATATTCGGTTAACATCGAGTTATAGCGCTCGCCATTCACAGTAACAGGGTTTCCTTCGTCACAGCATCATAAAGCTTTCGTACTAATATTAAACAAATCAATACACTGCTATTCACGCACTGGTTAAATATAATGGACATATCAATTACAGCTAAGATTTTTTTATATATTTTTTTTATATTTTCACAGCTAAGAGCTTAGATTTTTAAGAAGAATTATTTATTTCAAAAGTACTGACTTGTTAAAATCTACATTGACTGTCAGTCCTATCAACACATTCTTTGGAAATCGATTATTCAAGAGCTGGTGAGGAATTCGAAGACGAGGTAGTGGATAGAGGAATATTAGTGAGAGTTCTCAAAAGCAGTGACCCCTTCTATGTCTGGTGTAAGTTTTTTTTAATAAAAAAATAATTATCACAATTTTTTATGTTCTTTATTTAATTTTTTGGGTAAATTAAGTGAAAACGTAATAATAATTTCTATGGGTATATTACTTTGGTGGTTATTATGCAAATGCAAATTAGGCAGTAGTTAAACAAATATATTGATATGTAAACGAATCATGATGTACCCAGGCAGGTCTAGAATCTCGATCGGTCCAATACTACAATAGGCCCAACGAAATGTTGTCCTAATTCTTATTTGTTAATAGTCCTTTGATTTCATTGCATCTCTAAAATAAATAAACAAAAAAAAAAGTGTGGTGTGGTTTTATGAAACCACGATCCAAGTTAATCTTTTTTCGGATCGGTCAGCTGATGCGAGCGCCGCCATATTGGCCTTGGCTGCTCTGTCGAGCGCCATTCACTCTACCGCGGCCGGCTGTAATGCGACATGCGATAGATGGACGAAAAAAAGTGTATCATACAGAGAGATGGACGAAAAGTTTCTCTGAGCATGATACACCTGATGATGTGCATGCGTCGCCATACCCGTGATTTTACGTAGACTATTATTATTAATAGTCACGACTCATCATCTGACAGTGGTCTTGAATCGGTAAGTTTTGTTTTTCCATAGGTAATATTAACGTTTCTGCTTGTTTTGTCGTTTATTACGAACAACGAATTATTACGAACAATAAATATAATTATTTTCTTCAAGAAATGTTACCATTGTGACATTTTCATGATCTTTACTAATATTATAAAAACTATTTGTTTTCTATGAGTAAACTTTCTAGATCCCTAAGTTTTGCTGCATTAATCGCGTTTAAAACCTTCTTTCTAAGGAGAGGCGTATGTCCAGCGGTAGGTGAGGCCATCTGTTACTCTAGCAGAAGCAGGCCGGGGTGGATAATGGCGCGACGCGCTACGGAACGCGCACGCCCTTCGGGAGCACAAAGGGGACATAGGGGTTCCCACACAGGAGGGGGTCATTTACACAAGTAGATGGCTCCAGGTACGTCGGGGTATCAGGGTTTTCCTTCCTAGGGTACACCTGGTTCCCCGGCAACTGGTACCCGAGACGGCGTGCGGTTTTTGGTCGGTTCGAGTCCGACATAACCACCGGTGTGTGGTATCCGAGGGGATTTCAGCACAGAAAGAAAAGGCGTATGTCCAGCAGTGGACTAGTAAAGACTGATGATGAATGGAAATGGAATCCATTTGACCAGGTTATCGATCGCAAATATACATCAACATTATTAATTTAATACGTAATGTTCGTGGAGGATTAAGCCCGTGCCCATCTCCAGAATATTAAGAGTTTTTTATTCAACTTAAAGCTGATTTTTGTTAATTCCTTAGTAATAAATCCTTTAAACGGTTCAAGTTTTATTTATTTTATCAAGGTATCGATACGTATCTTTTGCAACACTACAAAAATTATACCAAAAGTTTGCTGGCGCTGGAGGTACACTACAGATACCAAAGCGTGGCGGTAAAAGGGTTGAACTTAAACACTTAACTTAGTACACAAAAAAAACAGGTTAAACACATGTTTATACCATAATAGTGCTTGTATAACAAGTAAAAAACATAACGGAAAACCGACCGTTTAACTCAAGTTTCGAAAGACAAAGGAAGCAGCCTTGAGGCCAACTCAGTACGATCGCCAACACCGTCACGGCAGAAGACACTTTTTGAATAAGATCCCCGTAAGATCCGAAATAAGTAGGACATCCGATAGTATATATCGGATGTCCTACTTATTTCGCATGAATGTGTACAACGTATACTTCTATCAAATAAACTATAGATGCACGATCACGGCTCGAAAAACGGCGCCAACTCAACTCGGCTTAAATTAGAAGTATGCACAGTTGCGTTCACAGCCGCTTCGCGACCGCGTTGGTAGTATGAAGTTCAATGATGCCAGCGTGCAGTAAAAAATGCAAAAAATATTTGGCATTGTTTTTGTATTAGAGTGTTCATCTATAGTCTATTTAATCGAAGACCGTATATTACATACATAAAATTATAGAAATATACCAACTTAACGGTTAAATTATTAATATTTTGTATATTAAATAATTATGATATTGGATTTGGTAAGTTATTGTAAACGGTATTTATGATGTTTATTTTCGGGAATTAGTTGCCTCGTGAAACTACATAATGGTGACACGCGTAGTAAACGACTTAGAAAGAGGGTAGACAGATTTGTCTGCTTGTTAAAAAAAACCTTCCACCCGTAGTTAATCAATTCATTCGTGATCATGGCACTTGGAAAAAGAAAATGATTTTTGAAAATAAACATGGTAAATATCCCGTTTACAATAACTTATCAACTGAAAATGCCCATGGTGGCGATGGCAACTTATTAATCACTTAACGTTAGTTAATACTAGTTGTGCTGTGCTGTGGTTTAGTAGTTCTTCGTCCATAATACTTCGAAAAATCTCCTTTTTTGTAAACTTTTGGAGTTCATGTCTAGGAGAGGTAAGGTGATCCAACATGTCCCCAAAGTCCTTTTGGAATACGCCGCAGAAACCGCAATGATACAGAGAATCGATCTGCAAATAATAACAATAATACGGCACGAGCATACTCGAGTACATGGACCGTACGAGAGCCATGCTTCGGCACGGCTTAGGCCGGCACGACGGGAATAATAATATAATATATTGATTTATGTCATACAAACGAGCTACAGTAACTTAAAAGTAACAAACTCTTTAATATAAAGTACTGTCCTCTTAAATAGGCTACATAACTCAAACTCTCTTTATTTCATATTTTTTTTAAATTGTTTGAAATCGTCTTTTATGTAGACTCTAAAGTCATAGATCAACACACACAAAAGCAACAATCTCTGTTTTGTTAAATAGTAAGCAAATAAATTTAACAAAAATCAAACCCATATAAAATCTATGATATGCCTTTGCCGATCTACAACCGCCCGTTTCCAAGGGGTTGAGCCTTATGAGAAGAGAGGGCAAAGAAACTCATGGCCCGACATAATAGTCTGTACTAAAGAGAAATAGTGCTTGAAACCTTCTCGTACACACCTTCTCGGAAATTCAAATACTGTGCTTGAAAACATTTATCAGTCCTGTTAGTTCTAATAATTATAACTATACTACACAGTATAGTTACATATTCATACTCACACATACACATGTGTGAGTATGAATATGTGTGTATATATGAGTGTGTGTATGTCTGATATATGTGTATGTATGACACACATTAGAGTAAAGAACGTAAAAGTGATTCGGTTTCATCAAATGTAAAATTTTGACGAAACACTTGAATAACTTTTTACATTCATGGATTGTAGATAAACGTACGTTACGTTCTTTACTGCATTTATTTTATTATATCTATAGATATGGACCAAGATAGAAGAAAAATCTTTTTGTGAAAGAATATTTATTCCTAGGCAAGGAGCAAATTTTTGTTTCTACGACGGCGATCAGTGAGCATAACATATGCCGTATTTCTATGTTGCAAGAGTTTGAAGTATACAGTTTAGTCTGACATTAAGGACCCTACAGTCTTTATAACGCGACGCTGTTGAAAATAAAATCGGTCTAAAAGTCGCAACCTTCAGTATGGCTCTGTGCGCTATTTCTAATGGGTAGATAATAGTTTTACACGCCCCATCCTAACAAGAGACACGAAGGCCTTCAACGCGTTTGTTACTCCTGAGTTGCAAACGTTCTTGGGCGGCGATGGTGGCTTTCCATCAGGTGACCCGTCTGCTCGTCTGCATGAAAAAAAAGTAATTTTAGATTGACAAAGTTCGTAGTACACTTTAAGCATTATAAATTTGCTAGCAACATACCGAAGGGGTTTAAAAATATACGAGTATATTAATTTACGCACTTTGCATGTCAAGGTGTTTACTCGTATGGGTGGTTTAAAATTTAAGTTTCTATTTGTAACGACACCGAGACAATGTATCTCAAGATAATATACGTGCGGTGTGAGTGTGATTGGAGTGTTGGGTTGAGAAGCAGCGGTAATCGAAAAGATAATAAAATTTTGTTTCACTAGTTTTAAGTGTTAGATTATGTGATAAAAGCTACTTAAAGACACACCTAAAACCATTTTGCGCTATGTCTTGGAAATCTGACCAAGTATCTGCGGCAAAAGTAATTGCAGAATCATCTGCATAAGCAATTATATTGGCGTTTGGGATCTCGAGACTGCATCGGTCATTAATGGAGACTAGAAACAAGGTTGGCCCAAGAACGCTACCTTGCTGCACACTGTGTTATACTTACCGGTATAACACGGTGTGCTGTGTAAGAAGTTCATCACCTAAATTATTATCAATTTTTGCCATTTGGGTTATTCCTGTGAGATACCTTAAAAAAAAGAATGTTTCAAGTTTTTGGCCAAGGGTATTGATGGGTATGGTATATAACGCCTTTGTGAGTTCTAAGCATATCGTATGCAACTTTTTTATCGCTATTGACGTTGGTAACAATAAGATTAGAACAGCTTTCCTAACCTGCAACTCAAGATACACAAGTGAGTTGGATAGCGGTAGTCACTTCACAATCAGTTAATCTGTTTGCATAAAAAATACATAAACTTTTTTAGAAGATGTAACATTAGAATTATTATTACCTGTCTTACAAATTCCTCTTTTAAAGAAGCGATGACAAAAGCGTTTCGCAATTTAAATTCATGTGATGGTGAGGCAACATGCATTTCTCTGTTCTCTCGGGCTATTTCAATGTCACAAAGTTGACATATTATCTTTCCAATATCCAACAGACAAAAGAAATGATTAAACTCGAAACAAAAACTATCATTAATTATGACATATCTGTAATCCACAATCAAAATCTGTCTAAAATAATCTTTTGGCAGAACTTTTTCTATCTTCATTATAATTAGTTCTTTATCTGCCTGTGTCTGCCATTTTATGTTAGCTTTGTGTTTTTTTCCTGCTATGTGGTTTTTTACATGGTTCAATGTGCCAGGAACTACTTTACTACATATCTGACAATTTAAATTAAACCTATCTTGGGTTACGAATAAGCCATGTTCTTTTGCATAAGTTTCTAGTTCTTCACTCACAGGAGTCAGTTTCTTTATAGCTGTTCCATCAGTAACAGGCGGGTTATCTGCAATCAAATGAGGTTTTGAAACACTGTATGTATTGGGGACTACTTACAAGTGATGTGGCTGATCGTTAAACAGATGAGTCCAAATTTGATAAAAACGGTAAAACCAATTACCACAGCGTTAATTATAAGGCCATAAGTACTAATTCGTGTATAAAGAGTCCACAAAGACGCCTCAGTAAACATTGACAGTATCCGTAACAAATCAAAATATATCCGCAAATTCCTCGTTCACATAGGTCGTCATCTTGAACAGTATCATATGTTTTTCTGACACTGTTGATTAAAAGTTCAGTTAGCAATAGTTAGTCACGAATTGAAAACGAAACAGTCCCAAAAAAAACAAACCAAGTTTTTATTGGGTACTACGGGATTATACGCTAATTCATTTTATATATAATTTGGTCATTCGAAGAGCGTCTCGAGTCATCAATAGCCAAACTCTACAACTTGACTTGTTTTTGATCACTATAACATATGGAACAAGTGTTTGAATTTTGCGATAAAAAGCTCGTGATTACCTCAACTTGGGTCATTTTTTATTCAGGCAATCATTTTTTTCTTGAATAACACTTTAAACTCTACAATTCGACGATCGTCACTACAACATAAGGACCAAGTAAATACTCGTATGTGAATTTTGCAATAAAAAAATATTTGTCCCACTCCTGAGGTCTACGGAACACACTCCTGGGGTCCAGGAAACCAGGTAATCATGGCGCTTATTCTTTACTAACGTATATATAATACAATACCCGGATACCCTGGAAATGTTGCGGCGGCCTCTCAGTAAAGTTACTATTCCCTTACCTGTCAAAACCTTTGTGTCAACATTTTTGTTAGATGTCACTTTTGTATCATCTCCATTAGCTTCATTCTCTTTCGTCTGTTCCCTTTTCTCTTTATTTCTTTGGTCAATATTGTTGTTGTCATCATCATTTCTAGTGCAGCATAATGAAACACGAGCAGCCTTGTGCTGCTTAGAATCTAAGTGTTTAGCAATCTCTGTATTAGAGACTATTTTGTTACATGTTAAACACTGATAGCATCCATCTACCTGAAATATCCATTCCGATTTGAAAGCAATAGGTATAGAATTTGGCTATCAAGTCAAATCAATCCTGACCAATATTCTACCGATGTGAACCCACTCCTAACACAACCAATGCAGCCTAGCGGGAGGGGTTACAAAAAAATAAAAGAAACATCAAAACGGTAACTCCTGTAAAATACTACTAAACTACTCAAAGGAGAAATCTTGCTCTGACTGCAGTGAGGGCCCGACGCTACATTCTCTAAGCGGAGCAAACCGCCAGCGTGGAGTGAGCGGAGTCCTCATTGCAGTTCCGGTGGTGACGGGTGGTACTCAATTTCCTCCTAGCGACTGATGACCGCATTTAACCTAGCATAAACCTCTCTCTATCGGGCGTCATACACTCCATGGCCGGAAGGCAGAACTCCTTCTGAGATTGCAGGTGAATGGGGTTTGAAGGCGGAGAGAGCCCAGCAGGAAAATCTCATCTCTGTCTGAGTGATGAACGCCAATTTTTTTGTTGCTAAGGTTCCAATTACTTTGAAGGATAGAGTGAAATCACTACTTTCTGTGATACTTGCCTTTCTATAAATATTGTTGTCATCATCTATGGTGACCGTGCTCCTAACCACATTGAGGGCATGACTGTGCTCAGACATATGAGTCGAGTGATCATCAATATCAGCATTGCAGACAACACAAGAGTCTTCTACGAGGCCGTTCCACGCGCGTTCTTCTATCAGTGTATCGTTTTGAAACACTACGGAGGTCCCCACACGCGTCAGGTGCCTTCTTTTGTCTTTAATGTGAGTTTCTTCTATCACATGTATACCCACTTTGGCAGCTGTGGAAAACATCTTGTTACACACCTCGCAGAAGTAAACACCGTTCACCTGCAATTTTGTCGGATGTTAAAAGTCGAGAAACAGTATTATTAGTATATTTTAAGCCAATAGACTACAGCACAGATGATATTGTACGTTTATATCAATAGGTTAGTTTTTTTAGTTTCAATAAATTCATAAGCTCAGGTAATATAATAAAAACATGAAACATCTCACACACGCCCGTCTGATTTCAAATTAGGCAGTGCCTATGTCACGGTAACTACACTACTGATAAACATACTTACAGAACAAATGATCGTGCTCATCACACAATTATTTGTCCTGGCTGGTTTCGAACTTACGATCCAATGGTCTATGGCAGTTAGAATTGCTATGCACAAGACCAATAGGCCAGTCAACATGACCAATCGAAAATATATTTATAAAACCTTAGAAAACACTTAGACAATGAAATAAATTAAAACGTTTCGAATACCTTACCTTTTTTATGAAATCATCTTTATACTTTTCAAAATAAACAGTCGGTTTCAATTTGGCGCTGTGTTCTGGGCTTCTGATGTGTTCCAGACCCAGTACATCTCCTGCCACAGGGATGGAGCAGACAAGACAATACGAGTCAAGGTCTCCCATAAGAACGCAGTTCTTTGAAAATATCGCCAGCATCCTGCAACATGTCAAGGCAAATTAGTTCGTTCTGTACAATTATTATATGAAACTACATATTATCAGTTAAATCACTAACACTGACGGAGTTTTCTTCAGGATTAAGTAGGTACATACGTTTTGGACAGAGGCAGATACAGCTAAGAGGAGGATCATTATTGTGGACTGAGGACGCACGATAAGCTTTAATTAGAAGGATTAACAAGAATCCAGAGTAACATGTGACTCATGTTTAAATAATTCAATCTCTCCCACATACACTTACGCCTGCAATGTCCAAAAGGTACGCAGAGGCGTTTTACACGTTTACATTTTACCGAGGATTAATTTTAATTTCACTTACGTAATAGGTGTCATCTATTGCCAGATACAGACAAAATTAGATAAAATATGAGAATTACATCTCTACAATGTATTGCACTGCCTGGTATTTCTATTGTTCCACAGTTACTAAATCGTTTAAATTTGTTGTAAGACAAAGGGCGGGCGGTTTACCAGTTCGTAAGTCACAATTGTCAAGCCGCCCACGAAAACCTCAAGTCCTCTTTGCCGGCTTTTGAGGTAAGAATATGCCGTTCTTAAATAAATTTTAGCTCCACGCATCTTACACACGGCAGTCTGAGCCCAAACTAGGCAGAGCCTGTTCTATTGTAACTAGATTGCTGATAAACATACCTATATATTTCTAAACAAATAAAATTATGAATAAATTACATACAGACAGAACAAATGATCGTTCTCATAACACAATGATTGTCCTGGGTGGGAATCGAATCCACTACTTCCGGCTTAGCAGTCAGGGTACTACCACTAGACCAACAGGCCCTTTAAAGTCTTAAAGATCGTATCGCTTTGGAAATAACGCAGCCGAAAATTAGTTCTACAGGTTAGTTGATGCCAAACTGTATGCGATTGTATCTTAAATATGCACGAATACATTCTCTTGTCACTATAAGTAATAAACCTATTACATAGATTTGTATATCATAGATTTACCCCTGAACCCTATACCTACCAACCCGTCTGGCCAGCGTGGTATAGTAGGCCTAAACCTCCTCTCTAAGGAGAGACCTATGTCAAGCAGTGGACTATTAAAGACTGTTGATGATATCATAGATTTTGTAAAAGTTTAATTAAATTTTTTTTGCTTACTATTTGACAAAACAGAGATTGTTACTATAGTGTGTGTTTATCTATGACTTTAGAGTCTACATAAAAGACGATTTTAAACAATTAAAAAAAATGAAATAAAGAGTTCGATTTTATAAATTTTTTGCGTCACCTTTGTTCTTACATCTCATCAAAGTAACCACATTGTGGCATAGGGAAGCCTGGCAGGATACCTACACAGCTAGTTTACTATATAACTCTTTACTATATGACTCGTAAAAGTTATGAAGGTACTTACTTTTAAACGATTTAACAGGATCTGTTTTCACTATTTTAGTAACTTGCACTACACTTTTTTCTATATTGGTAATCTATCAATATAATGTAATACACACTTTGCACCTTGTAAACAGCAATGATGTTTTAAGAATGACGCTGACTGAGGCACAGCAATCAAGTGGCACGGTACTAACAAGATGATAAGGAGGAGGTAGGTATTAGGTAGTAATGGAAATAATTGCTACTTTTATATCATAATCATGTTATGAAATGATTAGTTTCAGGTCACTGCGACTTCACCTGTGATAGATCACTAGACTTGGTCATAGACAAAGATAAATGCCGTTTAAACTTAAGTAAAAAAAACAAATATAAGTACCTATTGAATTTTCTTTTTATCTTTTTTTTTTAGATTTAAACCTTAAGCGAGCCTGGCGGTAGCGTAATCATAATATAATCATAAGTCGCAGTGAATTTTGATAGTGAGTTTGATTATAATTCCGATAGCTCCAGACTCCGGAAAGGTCTAAATTAAAAACAATGTCTTACCCTTTAAGTAACCAAGAAACTGGCATCCACTCGATACGTCTATAGATCCAAAGATTTCGATGCTGGCTGAGTGAGGCAGCTAGGGAGGTTATCTCAAACTGAGGTGATACGGTATCTCTTTTGCGGTGTATGTGGTTTTTTTTTCCTTTTGAGGTTAAATTGGATTGGATTCAGTCCATCTCAAATTAAAACTTTCGCTAAGGAAGTATCGATTTCAGAAACAAATTTGTTTCATCTCTCGATGTTATTTGCCCGAGAATTGTTGGGACAACAGGTATAAAAGGCATCTCCTGTACTATCATCTGCGTAGCAATGGATGCTGCTGGTTTACAGCATATCATTGATATGCAAAAGAGACTAAGTGGGTGATAGCTCATAGTCTTGCAGGACACTAGCATTAACAAACTTGCAGTCGGAGCATGCACCGCTATAAGCTAAATGCTTCTGTTTGCAAGGAAATTCTTGATCCAGTTACACAACTACTCGGATGCCCGGGTAGCCACGAAGAGTTAGGTATACGAGAAGATCACCGGCTGAGCGACCCCGACGGCGTTATGGTCAGCGGTGGTTTCCCCCGTCATCCAAAATAGAGTTTTACTTAAAGAGTTCGCCTAGAAGATCGGTGTTCACCTTGGCATCATAGTCGACCAAATTATATATCATCTGCAGGGGTAGAAGGGATAGTCTACAAAAACTCCCCTGGTCAGCCTTGGAAGAAGAAGAAAGAAGAATCGCCAGTTTCTCGCTAATCTAGCTGGCATTCGCCAAGGCGAATATTCCATATTCGCCTTGGCTGCTCTGCGGAATGCCTTTCACTTTACCGCGGCCGGCTGTAATGCGACATGCATTTGGTGTATTATGCTCAGAGGTGAACGAAAAGATTATCTGAGCATGATACAACTAAAAATATGCATGCGTAGCCATACCCGTGATTTAACGTTATACTAGGGTCTGGGATAGGTGAAGTGTGAAGAAAAAGAAATTCATTTGACAAATTTAATTTAATAATCGCCCTGATACTAGTATACATATCTCAATATTCATCAAATTTTCATCGTATTTAATATTTTGATTATTTATTTACGAATCAATGAAGTTCAAGTAAAATATTGTGTACAAATTAAAAAAATATCTCTGCATTATCCTGGAACGTCACTAGTGCAATCATGCCGAGAACGCCATCACCGTGATTTAACGTACGGCTCAAGATAAACATAGTTTTTGAAAGTTTGTCAGTTGTCCAAGTGCCGCCCCCGTGATAATACGTGTGCAGTTGTTATCAGTTACATGACCAGCGCTGTTTTAATATCGAGAAGTTATCGATAAAGTTTAACGACAAAGAACTATTAGATATTTTAGAATCTAAAATGATATTAGTAAAAGTGACGACTCATCATCTGGACTGATCCTGAATCAGTAAATTTGTTTTTCTATAATGTTAATCTTTTTGCTTGTTTTGTCGTTTTACGAACAACTCCATAATAAATATAATTCTTCATCTTTTTCTTCACCAAATGTTACCATTGTGGCATTATCATGATCTTTACTAATATTATAAATAGTGTTTGTTTTCTATGAGTAAATTTTTAGATCCGTCAATTTCAATTCCTTAAGAGAAACGGCTTGACTTTTATTTATTTATCAAGTAATCGATACCTATCTTTTACAACACTACGAGAAATTACCTAAAGTGTTGCTATGGGTACACTACCAAAGCACATGAAAAGCTTGGTAGGAAAACGGTTAAACTTAAACACTTTACTTAGTACCTTAACATCAATATTATCTATCTGTTTTTAATCTCAGAGACCAAAATGATACATGCAAATGTCAAATTTAGAAATAATGATACTGGCTCTTTTGCGCAGTGATGTACCAACGACACCGGTTTGTTAATTCGTAACTTAAATGTGATGTTTAAAGATTATCTTAATTTTTGATAAATTGAAAAAAAAGCAATAATTAATAATCGTACAAGTCAATTTACAAGTTCTTTTAAATGTGTGTTTTATTGATATGGTCTCCGAAAGTGGTAACTCTGTACCGACATATACTTTAAATGCACCAGTATAATTATGTACTGTAATGAATACCTACCTGTAAATAAGTAATTTAAAATATTTGATAACTTTTAAGTTAAAACAAAATAAACTTGATTTTATTAACGTCAATTTCTGATAGTGGCACATTACTATTTAAGAATTGCCAAAAAGGAACAACCCTCGTAATATCAGTTTAGTCTCTAGGATAAAAAAACAGGCTATACATAGGTTTATAACATAGTACTTGTAAATAATAACAGGTAACACAACATAACGGAAAACCGTCTAACTCAAGTTTCGAAAGACAACGAAAGCAGCCTTGAGGCCAATTCAGTGTGATCGCTATCACCGTCACGGCTGGACACACTTTTTGAATGAGATTCCCGTCAGATCCTAAACAAGTTGGACATATGCGAAATATATGCGTGTGTATAATGTATACTTCGATAAAATAAACTATATATGCACGATCAAGGCTCTAAAAACGGCGCCAACTCAACTCTGCTTAAATCTATACTAATATTATAAAGCTGAAGAGTTTGTTTGTTTGTTTGTTTGTTTGAACGCGCTATTCTCAGGAACTACTGGTCCGATTTGAAAAATTCTTTCAGTGTTAGATAGCCCATTTATCGAGGAAGGCTATAGGCTATATATCATCACGCTAATAGTAATAGGAGCGGAGCACCAATGAAGAATGTTTCGAAAACGAAGAAAATTTATTACTATTGAGACGCAGACGAAGTTGCGCGGGTCAGCTAGTTGGAGGTATGCAGTCGCGCTCACAGCGGCTTCGCGACCGCGTTGGTAGTATGACGTTCAACGATGCCAGAAAGTGTGTAGAAAAAAAATGCGAAAACTATTTGGCATTGTTTTTGTATTAGAGTGTGCATCTATAGTATATTTGATCGAAGACCGTATATATTAAAAACATAAAATTATAGATATACACCAAATTAACGAGTAAACTATTGATATTTGGTGTATTATATAATTTTGATATTTGATTTGGTGACTTATTGTAAACGGCATATTAATGATGTTTATTTTCAGGAATTCGTTTCCTCGTGAAACTACATAATGGTGACGCGTGTCTTATCCGAACTAGAAAGAGGATAGACAGATTTTAGTTTATTTGGATAGAAAACCTTTCATCCGCAGTTAATCAGTTCATTCGTAATGGCGCTTGGACAAACAAACTGATTCTCGAAAATAAACATGGTAAATATCGCGTTTACAATAACCTATCAACTGAAAATGGCTTTGGTGGTATAAATCAATACAACTAAACAATCACTTAACGTTAGTTAATACTAGTTGTGCTGTGCTGTGGTTTAGTAGTTCTTCGTCCTTAATACTTAGAAAAATATCCTTTTTTGTAAACTTTTGGAGTTCATGTACAGGAGAGGTGAGGTGATCCAACATGTCCCCAAAGTCCTTCTGAAATACGCCGCAGTAACCGCAATGATACAGAGAATCGATCTGCAAATAATAATACAGCACCAGTATAGTTGGGTAGACCGTGCAAGAGCCATACTTCGGCACACTTAGGCCAGCACGACGGGAATAATCTTTACATAGTGTTACGTGTTAGGGTTCGTTGATTAATAATAAGCCTTCTGACGGCTAAAGAGACTTTATTATCGCTACACTTAAACAAAATTGAAGAATATTCACTTCAATCGCTTGGATGTTTATCGCACTGAAGCTCGAACTGAACTGACTCCAACGAAAACGTGTCCGCATTTATAATACTCATAAAGGAACATTCCAGCAATTTCCAATCCCTACGAGAACCGTTCGCTTCCGAGAAATACAAATTCGCTGCAAATGTAAACAAGATAATCGTGCGACTATCAATTTTCGATCCTATGCGTATTGGTATAGCACTTATTTTTCCGTGCCAAATTGCGTTATTATTAAACGGTTCCCGGAATTGCGTGGTTAATCGAACTTTCGCGAAGTTTAGTGACAATAGTAAAAATTAAATTGTCTTTTTGTGTAGTAGGCTAACGGATTTTAATGCGGTTTTCACTAAAAGGGAGAGTGATTCAAGAGGAAGGTTTATATGTATAATACATGTGTATTATAATAGAGAAAAGCCGAAAATCAAGTTCAAATCCAAAGGTATGTCGTAAGAACGTGTTTTTGAGCACACGTGTTTTTGAGTTTTGCAACTGCTGACCAAACCTTAGGAGATATTTACGAGGGAATTGCATATCTTAAGAAGATATACAAAAAAAATATGGAATGGTATATGTCTATCTCTTAAGGATAACCCACAGTAAGCACCTTTATCTTCAAATATTACAAAAAAATAATGGGTTATTTAAAAATCTATTTTAAACAATACATTATTATTCCTTATCCAATTAAATATTACATCCATCGTTAGATCCGTTGTACATTAAATGTAGATTAAAATCGCTCTTTACAGCATATCATTAAAATGAATTTTAGAAGATATAAGAGGTTTAAAATGCTCAACGACCGTCTGCGTGGTGTTAGGGGCCGGTAGGATCCTAGGAGGCCTATAAATATTGCATTGATATCGCTAACACACAGAAAACCTCTGGGATGCATTTTTTTCGTTGCCCTTCAGTAAGAGAGGTAGGGGGAACAACCCTTTCCTTCCCTAACATGCAACTCTAGAGACACAAGTGAGTTGGACAGCGGTAGTCACTTCACAATCAGGTAATCTGTTTGCATAAAAAATACACAAACTGTTTTAGCAGACGTAGCCATATTATAATAATTATTATTACCTGTCTTACTAATTCCTCTGTCAAAGAAGTGATGACAAAAGCGTTTTGCAACTTATATTCATGTGATGGAGAGGCAACATGCATTTCTCTGTTCTCTCGGGCTATTTCAATGTCACAAATTTGACATATTATCTTTCCAATATCCAACAGACAAAAGAAATGATTAAACTCGAAACAAAAACTGTCATTAATTATGACAAATCTGCAATCCACAATTAAAATCTGTCTAAAATAATCTTTTGGCAGAACTTTTTCCACCTTCATTGTATTTAGTTTTTTGTCTGCCTGTGTCTTCTGTTTTATGTTATCTATGTGTTGTTTTCCTGCTATGTGTTTTTTTACAAGATACATTGTGCCAGGAACTTCTGTTCTACATATCTGACAGTTGAAACTAAACCTATCTTGGGTTACGAACAAGCCATGTTCTTTTGCATAAGTTTCTAGTTCTTCACTCACAGAAGTTAGTTTCTTTATAGCTTTTCCTTCAGTAACAGGCGGGTTATCTGCAATCAAATAAGGTTTTTAACTGCTGTATGTATTGGGGACTAACTACAAGTGATGTGCCCGATCGTTAACAATTTATATCCGCAGAGGAGGATAAGAATATAAACCATTAAAATTCACTCAAATAGTTTTTATTGATAAGGCTTTATTACAGTGTATATACTTTCGAATGTCAGTACTATATAAAAATCATTTTAAAAAACAAGAGACACTAGAACAAAATGAAATAACCCTGATGAGCTAAGTGAAGTCATAAGAGCAGCATAAATATATTTATATAATTAATGCACGTCCTAACATAGAGCATTGGCATATGTGTAACTACTAGTAATGATGACTACTATGTACTACTAGTAATGATGATAACTACTAGTAATGATGAGGCAACCCCTTTGATAGACCGCTAAATACCTACAAGACTGTCTCGACTAAAAATGAACAAGGGTTGTCACAAAAACTATCACTATCGTAGGAAGCTAAGTATTTGCCTAATTTAACTATATTTTACCTATATAGCAGTATCTCGGATTCCTATTCCGTTTGAAATATTGGACAAAAGGTTAAATAAATTAAATAAAACGGGTCATAATTATACATTGGAGAATATTTTATTCCGTTTCTTTAGTTTCATGATTTAAGATGACGTAAATATTGAGAAAAGATTTTGGTGAAAAGATTTTGGTCGAATTCTTTCAACCACGTGATTGCTTCAGCATGCCATCACGATATTAATGTTATTAAATGTATTGTAATTTATATAGTTATGTGTAATAATAATATATTAAAATAAATAATATTAATAAATGCGTGTATTAAAACAGTAGGTATTAAAACTACTTTTGAAATTATATGTAAATTATAAACGTTCGTGGCTTAGTAAATGCTATGTATATCAAATTTCTCAGCAGTGGACTATTAAATGACACAGGCCTCTCCTTAGAAAATAGGTTTTGGCCTACTATACCACGCTGGCCAGACGGGTTGGTATAGGGTTTGTATCAATTTTTCCTTATTTTTGCAGTGCTGGTGTCCTGCGTTGTTTTGCGCCCTTAGTCGGTTCTTACGACACCTACGGGATTATTTGTGGTAGTGACATTCCGTATTCTTAATCCGTCACTACACGTACATGACTTTGAATGAATAAATAAAAAAATATAAACACAGGGTTATTGGTTAAGTCGACCTAGATACTTTAGGAGGTTATAATAGCTATTATTTCTAATGGATTTCACTGTGAAATACCATCGGGCACGGACGGGCAGCAATAATGTAATCAAATTAAAATAGTAATAGTTTTATTTTAATATGCAATAAATATTAGTAAGAATATGGTTGTATCCACAGAGCTTTGAATAAACTAGAAATGCGATGTAGGCGGGGCAGGCGCGTTGTAGTTACGAGCAAGTGTGCATAAATCTCTGAAAACTTTCGTACTCACGTATTGCGCGCGCTTGCGCGTCCAATTTGTCCAAAGGTAACATATCATATCATCGGTAAGTCTAAGAACTTTTGTTTTTAAGTAATATCACAAAGTATTATGTACAACATGTAAACATGTAACAAGAAAGAAAACCGTTATGATATAATCTATTAAAACAGTCATACATTGCGTATCGAATTTAAGTAATAACTAAATTGTAACTACGAGAGATTTTTTTAGTATTTGTCAAAAAAATATATATTCAGAAATCTAATTTTAGTTCTAAATAAAATTGTATAAGGCGAAATTATATCATTTTTTCTTCAAAAAAAACATTATATTTAAACATATAATATAACATAACATATATGTTTAAATGGTCAGGTTTGTGATATGGTATTTTATAGTGAAATCTATTGGAAATAATAGCTACCAAAACCCCCTAACGTGTCTAGGTCTACTTAATCAGTAACGGTGTATATATTAAGCCACCAAATACATCAAGAGTTTTATTAGACGCTCTTTCCCTTATTTATTAGTAAAGTTAATATTAGCTTACCTGTCAACCTTGTATCAACATTTTCGTTAAATGTCACTTTTGTATCGTCTCCGTAGGCTTCATTCTCTTTCATCTGTTCCTTTTTCTCTTCATTATTTTGGCCAACATAGCTGTTGTCAGTATCATTTTTAGTGCAGTCTAATAAAACACGAGCAGCCTTGTGCTGCTTAGAATCTAAGTGTTTAGAGATCTCTGTGTTAGAGACAACTTTGTTACATGTTAAACACTGATAGCATCCATCTACCTGAAATATACATTCCGATTTGAAAGCAATAGAAGATAATAAAAGAAACGTCAAAACGGTAACTCCTGTAAACTACTACTAAACAACTCAAAGGAAGACTTTGGCTGACTGCAGTGAGGGCCTAACGCTACATCGTTTCAGCGGAGGAAACCGCTGAGCCGAGTTCTCGTGTGGTATTCAATTTCCACTTAACGACTGATGACCGCATTCAACCTAACATAATCACTTCGCCCGGTCGGAAGATTCCTCATTAAGGCCCGTAGAAAGAGGTCTCCTCCTTCTGAGATTGCAGGTGATCGGGGTTTGACGGCGGAGAAAGCCTGGGAGAAAAATCTCCTCTCGCACCACCGGCGAACCAGGTGGTGGAAGCTGGCCTTCCAGTGTTTCATGGCGCTCTGAGTGTTGCCGCTTGGATAGGACGGATTTTCGCCACCACCCGGAACGAAGGCCAGCCTTGCAGAGGCGATGTACTTGTCTGCCTAGACGTCCCCTAAATACAAAGATTTAACCGCAGGTGGTGTCCATGCTACAGCGTGCTTAATTTATTGTAATATTTGAAACACAAAGGGGGGAATTATTTATAGTAGGAACAGACAAAGATAGGAGAACTTCGATTATACGTCTCTTTCACGGGCGTTGAGTAAATTGAAATCGATATTTACATTTAGTAACCAGGAATAGGGAATAATTCGCAGCTCAGCGAGACTTAAAAAAAAAGGAGTAGATTCTCTATGCGGTTTTTTTTAAACAATTCGAAAAAACTTTTCATTTAGAAGTGTATACTTCTTCCTGTGGTTTTTTTTTATTTTAAGAAAAATACCACCGTTAAGGAAGGAAAAATAAAATACATCCGGACAAGTGCGAGTCAGACACGCCCACCGATTGTTCCGTACAAATTAGTAGGTAAGTATTATAAATAGTTCAGGCATCGAGTCTCGCAGGTTTTTGCCGAGCTTTTACCGAAATTCAGTTTTCAAAACCTATAATTACTTACATTATAGTGTTTTAAGTGAAATGGAACCTCTATGACGTTTTTTGCGACATAATCCTTTTTTTATGTTAAATTAGAAGTTTGATTTTTTTACAGCTTCAAGGGACTATAAACCCGAGTATATGGTTAAAATTTCAACTCGATACCTGTACGCGGTTCCGAGATAAAGGGTCTTAACAAACAGAGGGACATACGGACAATAAAGTAATAAAGTAAAGTAAAAAACGGAACCCTACAAGGAACGGAACCCTAAATGAAGTAAGAAGTAAGAACCCTAATTATTATGGTTGCTAGCAGTCCTAAGTCCTGGCCTACTGCTATCGCACGTGTTCTACTGCTGTATCGCTGTACGCCAGGTTCTACAATATTAAGTCCTGGTAAAAGTAAAATTATCTTCAAAGAACCAACCCTCTTCGAAAGAGGTTGATTAACCATATTCTTTATAAAGAAGAACCATGCTTTGGTGTACATATTTGGGCCCGGCTCGACCGGAGTGTTCTACAGCCTCACTTTTCTCAGAGTGAATTAGGCAACTGGAGCGAAGGCAACCGCTTCTTGGATGACTTTGTCACAGTCAAAATGATGTCTATTTACCCATAGTATTCAAGAATTAAAGGTGATTTTTCCGTTGCGAAGGTTTCAATTACTTTGAAGGATAGACTGAAATCACCACTTACTGTAATACTTGCCTTTCTATAAATATTGTTGTCATCGTCTATGGTGACGGTGCTTCTAACCACATTGAGGGCATGCCTGTGCTCAGACATATGAGTCGAGTGATCATCAATATCAACATTGCAGACAACACAAGAGTCTTCTACGAGGCCGTTCCACGCGCGTTCTTCTATCAGTGTATCCTTTTGAAAAACTACGGAGGTCCCCACACGCGCCAGTTGCCATCTTATTCCTTTAATATGTGTTTCTTCTGTCACATGTATACCTACTTTGGCAGCTGTGGAAAACGTCTTGTTACACACCTCGCAGAAGTAAACACCGTTCACCTGCAATTTTGTCGGATGTTAAAAGTCGAGAATCCGTATTATTAGTATATTTTAAGCCAATAGACTACAGCACAGATGAGATGGCACTTTTAGTTAGGTTTTTAGTTTTAAATTTATTCATCAGTTCAGGATATATAATAATAACCTGAAACATCTCACACACGCCCGTCTGATTTTCAATTAGGCAGTGCCTGTGTTACGGTAAGCAGATTGCTGACAAACATGCTTATACATTTCTAAATCGATATTAAAATATTATATGTACTTGGAAGCATTACACCCAGACACAGAACTAATGATGGTGCTCATCACACAATTATTTGTACTGGCCTGCCCTTTCAAACTCACGACCAATGGCTTAGTAGTTAGAATTGCCCTGCACAAGATCAACAGGCCAGTCAATGAAAAATCGAAAATATTATTCTAAAACGTTTGAAAACACTTAGACAATGAAATAAATTATAACGATTACCTTTTTTATGAAATCTTCTTTGTACTTTTCAAAATAAACAGTCTGTTTCAATTTAGCGTTGTGTTCTGGGCTTCTGATGTGTTCCAGACCCAATACATCGCCTGTCACAGGGATGGAGCAGACAAGACAATACGAGTCAAGGTCCCCCATAAGAACGCAGTTCTTTGAAAATATCGCCAGCATCCTGCAACATGTCAAGCCAAATTAGTTTGTCTAAACATTAAACTGTAGGTACGTTCTGTAGAACTCTTGTTATATTAAAAAAAAAACGATTTGTGACGTCATAATTTGTTATAGTTAAATCATGACGACGACCTGACCGACTGACGACCGGATAGCGTAGTGGTTTGTGTAACGGACTGCTATTCCAAAGGTCGCGGGTTCGATTCCCGCTCAAGTCAAACATTTGTGTGCATGAACATTGGGTGTTTGATTTGGTCTGGGTGTTTCTAAGTATAATATGTATGTATTTACAAAAAAAAAGTATATATGTATTTATATCAGTTGTCTAGTACCCATAGTACAAGCTCTGCTTAGTTTGGAACTAGATGGCGTTGTGTGAATGTGGTAGAATATTATAATATATTAACACGGAGTATGTCACAGGATCAAGGACTCACGATTAAGATCAGCTTTTAAATGTGGTTTTATACCGGCGAGGAGAGGGTGGATCCGATGGGCGTGAATTAAAATCACGCTTACTCTTTTACACCTGCACTTGACGGGTGCAGAGACCCGTTTTGAATGAGACGGATCAATGCCTGTCGTTGGTCCCCAAACCATTGGCAAGCCGAGAAACACCGGGTTGAAATTTTGTCGATAATAGTCCAACAGACCCCTTAGAATGGGCGAAGGACATCCACGAGGATCTTCGACACCGTCAACAAAAAAAAACATACCTTTTGCACTTGACAAGTTTTAACGCGCGGCGTACTTTGTTTATAATTTACTAGTTGTATATCTTTATTAAAACATAATTAGTTGTAAAGTATTACAACTTGTAAGGAAAGGAGGTAGTTGTAAATAGATTACCTAAGCGTTTACACGTATCACAAAAAGTTTAAAACAAACATGAAGTAATTTAATTTTTATTCATAAAAATGTTAAGTTAACCAACTTAACATTTTTATGAAAACAAATTGTGTACGCTTCAAAATCTCTAAAAGCTTTGCACGATTGATCTCAAATTTTTAGACACGGTATTACGCCGCTTCAAAGATTGATTTTATTTATTTTTGCATTACCTTTGTTCTTCATGTCTCATAATAATGCAACCAGAATATTTATTATAAAAACAGACTCGTAGAAGTTATGTAGGTACTTACTTTTGCATGATTTAAAAGGATCTGTTTTCACTATTTAACTAAATGGCAGTACACCGATTCTTTTTTATATTAGTACTCTATCAATATAATGTAATATACACTTTGCACCTTGATGAGAGCAGTGATGTTTTCAGAATGACTGACTGAGAAACAGCAATCAAGTGGCACGGTACTAACGAGATGATAAGTAAGTAGTAATGGAAATTATTGACACATTTAAATCATAATCATATGCTGAAATGATTAGATGTAGTCACTAAGACATTATCTGTGATAAATCACTACCGTGACTTGGTCATAGACAAAGATAAATTTAGTTAAGTAACTTCAATAAAAAAAACAAATATACTTATTGAATTTTCTTTTCATCAAAGACTACGACCTTATTTTTAATTTAAACCTTAACGTCTGGCGTTAGCATAATCATAATCAGAAGTCGCAGTTAATTTTGATAGTAAGTGGTAGGTATGGTATAAATCACAATCACCTAGCTGTGATAAATCATATAAGTTAGATATCCTGCATCACACCTGTGACTTGTACAAAACCCACAATACCAATAACCGCGCGATTTTTTCTCTAAAAATCAGTTAATATGACGAGCAGGAAATATTGTGCTGTTTTTGGTTGTATGAATTCGTCAATAACGCATCCAGACATAAGCTTTTTAAATTACCTCTAAACTCTGAAAGGTAAGACTATAAAATAATTTTACTTACTAGTAGGTACGTACATGTGTGTCTTTTTAATGGATAAGTATTTCCTTTTATCTCACGAAAAAAAAGGTGTTTGGATTAATAAATAAAGCGAATAGAGTAACGGAAAGTTATTGAGACGAGTGAAATAGGGAGTTATATGCGGATCTGAATGAATCATGATACGGTAGGTACCTACCTACTTACGCTTGTGTTAAAACTTCGGTGCATGTGTGTTTTGTTACTTTGCATAATTCAAAGTAAAGACGTGGTATTTTATTATTAATAATATTTGTTTATTATCTGTGTGTATGAATAATACTAAAAAAAAAATTTTACCGTCTGTGTGTCATTAGACAGTTTACGAAATTTTCACAAAGTGTTTCTGCTGCTACTATAACAACATATACCACTAAAAACTGGTTTTATCTTCTCGGTATTAACAACAACAGCTAGACTCATATATAATATTTAGATGTTTGAGGGTTGTGATTTTAAAACATTCGTAGTCAGCTGTTCAGCTTTTTAATAATTAATTAATTGGTGACCAAAGAATTTTTGTTTTGAGTTGTTGCGAGTTGTAGGTAGGTACCTAATTTATAGAGACGTTAATAAGCTGAGATAAAAAGTAAGAAATTTATAAGCCCGATTTGTTTTTCAAACAAAAACATGTTTTTTAATTAAATCTACCAATCAAAAAACAACACGCATTTTTATTGAACACTTCCTATTCAATATACAAAGTATTTCATTTATTTATATAAAAAGGAAATTTACAATCACAAATCTAAATAGAAACAGAAAGTAGGCAAATATAATTAAAATGCTGGAGACGGGCATCCCTAACGCATGTTCACGTACCGCGCGGCTGTAGGCATTTATTTCTATCATGCGGCCGAGTTACACTACTGTATTATAATTGTACCGTGCCCTAGGGGTTAATCTGTGGTACAAAACCACTGAGCCTTATGATTGTTTACGCAAGCGCCAGACTCGCGAAAGGCCAAAATAAAAAAAAAACACGACATAAGTGAAATCTTGAACAATTACTTATCTATGTTGTACGTATATACACAATATATGTTTATATTATATATAGTTACATTATCAATGTATTTCAACCCAAACTCAACTCTCGTGTTAACGGGGCCAATATCTGTAGATACTTATATGTGGTGAGGTGTCGGTAACGGTAACGATAACAGTGTCGCGAGTTCAACAGTTTTTCCCATCTCAAAAATGTGTCTTTTTGTTAAACCATAAAATTCATTCTTCTGTATGTTGTTCAAAAATGCCCAACGCGCTAAGAAGTTTTTACTTCAAAAGGGTCGTTGATTTTGATAAAAAATTTGATTTTTACTTTGCTTAAGTTTTTGACGGCATTTATCTTTGTCCGTAACAAATGTCAGTATTGATTTATATCGCAGTGACTAAAATCAATCATTTCACCATATGATTATTATTTAAAAGTAGAAATAATTTCCATCACTAGTAAGTAGACTGAGTGGGTAATATTTGTTTGAATATTCTGGTATTTCTGGTAATTTTATTATATCTGCTTGTTTTGCTTGGGTGGATAATGGCGCGACGCGCTACGGAGCGCGCACGCCCTTCGGAGCACGAAGGGAACATCTGGGTTCCCACACAGGAGGGATCATCTATAAGCCGTAGATGGCGCTAGGTATATCGGGGTACCAGGGCTTTACTTTCTAGGATATACCTGGTTCCCCGACTACTGGTACCTGGAGACGGCGTGCGGTTTTTGGTCGGTTCGAGTCCGACATTATCACCCACTTGTGGGTGGTATCAGAGGGCAGTTCCGCACAAAAAAAAGGAAGGTGGCAGGTAGTTAATAATAAATCCTTAATATAAATGGTTTGAGTTTCATTTATTTTTTCAAGTAATCAATCTTTTACAACACTACTAAAAATTAGGCGCTAGT